GTAAGCAGAGAAACAAGCAGGGAAATTTGGCAAGCAGTCATAAATCAAGGGGTCTGGTTTTGGTGTTAGCCTCAGGACCACCCCAAGAATGCCAGGGACCTAACAGTACCTATTTCCATGAGGAATATTGGTCTCTAATTTTTTTCCTCTTTGTCTAGTTTTGATATCACCTTCAAGTAGAATTGGGAGGTGTCCCCTTCCTCAACTGTTCTCTAGAAGAGATTGTGTAGAGTTGGTGTTAATTCTCTTTTTAAATGTTTGGTAGAATTCTCAAAGAAATAATCTGAGCCTGGAGCTTTCTTTTTGGGAAGTTTTAAAATTATGAGTTTATTTTCCTTCATGTTTTCAGGGCCATTTTAAAATGATCTATTTTGTATTGGGTCAGTATAGTTTGTGTGATTTTTTTTTTCTTTTGATGTTTTTTTTGTCATTTTGTTTGTTGGGTCCATTTTATCTAGATTGTCAAATTTATGTGTATATGTTATTCTTAGTATTTATTATTACTTGATGTATTCAGAGTTTGTACTGATATCTCTGTTTTCTTGTGACCTTTTTGTTTGTTTTATAGTACTGGGGTTTGAACTCAGGGCTTTGTACTTGCTAGGGAGGCTGCTATACAGCTTGAGCCATTCCTCTAGCCCTGATAGCCCTGTTTTCATTCCTAATATAGGTAATTCTCTTTTTTGTCCATGTTACTAGAGATTTGTTTTTATTGGCCTATTTAAAAAGCCAGTTCTTTGTTTCACTTATGTTATTTTCCATTTTCTCATTCATTGATTTCTGCTCTTTATTACTTGCTTGCTTTGGTTTATTCTAGTGTTCCCTCCCTTCTTTTCCCTCCCTTCCCCTTCTCTCCATTCTCTTGGGGTGAGAGTCTACAGTGATTGATTTGACCTTTTAAAATACAACCATTTTAGTGCTATAAATCTCTCTCTGAGCAGAGCTTTAGTTGTATCCTATAAATTTTGCTGTATTTTCATGTGTATTTAGTTCAGTGTATTTTTTATTTTTGGAGACTTTTCCTCTATGACCGTGGGTTTTGTGAGGTTTCTAAGTTTGTGGAGATTTTCTTACTACCTTTCTGTTACTGATTTCTAGTTTAAATCCATTGTAATTGGATAGCATGATATGTATGTTTTCAGTTCTTTTATATCTTTTGAAGTTTGTTTTATGGCCCATGATCTGGTAGTCTACCTTAGCATGTTTCAGGGACACCTGAATGTGTGTCTTCTGTTGTTGGGTGAGATGTTTTTATAAATGATAATAGGGCTCGTTGGTTGACGATGTTTTCTTCTGTTTCTTTGCTGGTTCTCTTATTGTTCTATAACTTGTTCACAGAGGCACATTCAAGTCTCTTATTTTCTTTTTTGAGTTGTCAGGTTTTATGTCACATATTTTGCAGCTCTCTGGCTTAGTGCATGCAAACTTAGGACTATTGTGTCTCCTTGGTGGATTTACTCATTATATAATGCCCTATGTATTTGATCATTTTGTGTGTGTGTGTGGTTTTGGGTTTGAACTCAGGGCCTACACCTTGAGCCACTCTGCCAGCCCTTTTTGGTGATGGTTTTTTTCAAGATAGGGTCCGACAAACTATTTGCCTGGGCTGGCTTTAAACCGAGATCCTCCTGATCTCTGCCTCCTGAGTAGGTAAGATTACAGGTGTGAGCTACCAACACCCAGCTATTTGAAAAATTTTATTTGCTACTTACAGATTTATCTGTAGTCTACTTTATTTGATTATTGTTGCTATAGCACCTCCTAATTTCCTTTGAGTAATGCCTACATATTAATCTTCAAGTATATTTCCTTCCTTCCTTCCTTCCTCTCTCCCTCCCTCCCCTTCCTCTTCCCTCCCCTTCCCTACCCTGCTTTCTTTCCTAATATATATAAACATATACATACATAGAAGTCTTTACCAGTTTGATTAAAATGTAGAAATTTTACTTCCTTTTATATGCCTTTATGTTTCCTCATTTTCAATATAGTTATTTTAAATATATGGTCCACACACATGTAGAAACACATCAGACAGTGTTGTAGTGTTTGCTTTAATATAATTTTGAAAACTCAACAAAAGGAAAACCTATTGATTCCTGTATTTTTGCTTATAGTGTTTTTTTTTCTTTACATACTGGTGATTCTACAAACTCATTAGAAAAAGGTACATTGAATTAGTTAGCTTTATATTAGTATAATGAAATACCTGAGGCAACTGACTTATAAAATAAAAGGTTTGTTTATAGTTTTGGAGGTTCAAAGACATAGCTCTGTGCTCAGTTCTATTGAGGGTTATGGATGGTGGCATATAATGACACATGTGGGAAATAGTACTCACATTTCAAACCAGGAAGCAGAGAGAGAGAGAGAAAGAGAGAGAATGATTGGGGTCCCAAAGTCCATTTGAAAGCATGCCCTTAGTGATCCGGTACCTCCCACTAGATCCTCCCTCCCTTCCACAGGTTCCACAGCACTTAAAGACCAAGACCTTAACATAGTGGACCATTGAGGAGATAATAAAGCAATTAAATAATATCTAAACTGTAGCCCACATTATTCAGTATAAAAATAATAAAGATACAAATAGTCAACTGTGATATCAGATGGCTTACAAATCTAAAAAAGAAATGTAAAACAATTGAAAACAATAATGTACTGGTTTTATCTGTAAGATTTGGCAAAAAATAAAAAGCATAATAAAGGTTGAATATCCTTTATGTGAAATGCTTGGATACAGAAGTGTTTTCGATATCAGATTTTTAAAAATTTTGAAATATTTGCATACACACAATGAGATATGAGGATGGGACTCAAGTCTAAACATGAAATGCATTTATGTTTCGTATACACTTTATACACATAGCCTGAAAGTAATTTTATGCAGTATTTTTAGTGTGCTTGTGATTTGACTGTGATCCATCACACTGAAGTCAGATGTCGTATTTTCTACTTGTGGTGTCATGTTGATACAAAGTTTTAGATTTTAGAGCATTTCAGATTTTCGAATTAGGGATACTCAATTTATATCCAATGCTATTGAGGGAAATAGGTGCTCTTATATCCTCTTAGTGAAGGTATATATTTCAGTAACTTTTGGGGAATTAATTTAGTAGTATCCATCAAAAAATCTAAATGCTTACATGCTTGGGTACAATGAATTCCACCTATTAGGAATCCATCCTAAATAGAGAATTTAAAGCTGCATATGTAAATGCTCTTAGAGAATTATTTATAATAGTAAAAAATTGGGAACAACCTAAGTGTTGGTCAGTTGGGGCTTGGGTGAATAAAATATGTATTTGGAGGTCTGCGGGTTAGAACAAGGGAACACGATGAAAGCAGGCTGGAGCTGCTGCCAGAGCCATGACTGTTAGTAACCAATGTGAGCCCATCTGCCAGAATGTGACTCTGTAAAGAGAAAACACCAAGATAATGAGTTTTCTGCTGTTGTCTACAAGCAGAGGGACTCAGAGAATGCAGCAGAAACAAGAAAAGCCAAATGAGAAGGAACCCAGGTAGCTTTGAGGCTTTGTGTCTATCTCCTTTGCCCTTTGCCTTTGTGCTTGGAATCAGTCCCAAAATACTCATGCTTCTTGTATTGCTCATAGGTAGCGCTGATGGATGGCATTTCCTTTGCTCTGGGTCTTTGGGGAATCCCTTTTGTGCTTCCTTTCCCTCTGATAGCTTCTGTCTTCCTGGTCTACTCCTAAGGGTGAGGAGTTTACCCCTTCCCAGTATTTTTATATCTTGGGAGCATACTCCAAAGTATTAAAAGTAGTGTTGTAATTAAAAAAATACATGCATGGTATATTTATACAATGTGAAGTCATAAAAATGAGTAAGGTATTTGTGTATCAGCCTTTAGGATAAGATCAAGTTTAGTATCTGTTCTTACCAGTTTAGTGTCTGATATGTCCTCTATCTGAGGACAGTATGAATTTTTGGAGCAGAGATATGGAATAGGAGCTTACTTTGTCTACGCCTGGTATTAACAGTACCTTTGGAAATAGTGCACCCCATCCCAGAAGCAGAAGTTGGGGGGGATAAATATGTGTGTGCTTGTGAGTGTGTGTAAATAGATATCCATGATGTAAATTTAAATATCAGAAAGAAAATTGCTGATCAGCATTCCATTTTTACTAAGAAAATATGTGCTGTTTCTGATTATCAAACAAGTGTATATAAACAGGGAAGCAAGAGAGAGAAGATGGACTCAGGTGTTAGCTGTTAGCACTATTTATTCTTAGGATATGAAATTGAGTTGGAAGAAGAGAGGGAGAGTACAGGGGCAGGAAAGAGACATGATAAGGGAGACTTTCTGTTCTTTTTTTTTTTTTTTTTTCAATAGTTGAACTGGGGATATATTGTGACATTTACCAAAGTTCTTAAAATATATCACAATTGAAATCACCCTCTCCATCATTCTCCTTTATCCCCTCTCCCCTCTGTATTTTTCCCTATCATTTTAAGTATTGGAATTTGGGTGACTTTTATTTTTTGGATTAATCTGTTTAATTACCCAGTTAAAATAAATAAAAGTTATAAATATTTTTTGCATGAATGAAAAATATAAACCAATTCATGTATGTATTTGTTTTAAATTTCTGTTATGTCATTGTTACAAGCTTTTAAAAGTGAAGGCTAGCCAAGTGTGATGGAGTACACCTATAATCTCAGCACTCTGGAGACTGAGGCAGAAGCATTGCAAATTTGAGGCCAGCCTGGGCTACATAGAAGACTGTCTCAATTTTTAAAAGAAAAAAAGAAAGTGAAGGCTGTAGAATATGGTACTCCATGTTGCCAACTGTAAGAAGTGGGGAAAGACTGAACTATTTTGCCAATGTAAGAATTCAAGAAGAATAATCTGAATATGAATATTTGAGTCTTCTAGTAAACTACTGAAATTTTATCTATAGCTTGAGCCTTTCTTTTAGTCAACTTGATGATAAGCTAGGCCCTTCTTTTTAAAAATGTGTATTTCTTTCTTTTTTTCCTGACAGAAATGACATCAGATGTACCAACGCTGGGTCCTACCATTGCTTCTGGAAACCCAGGGCCTGGCATTCAAGGGGGAGGAGCCATTGTCCAGAGGGCTATTAAGCGGAGACCAGGGTAAGTTTGAGTATAGTGTCACGTTTGTCTCTGCTATAAACCAGCCTGATTTAGTTAGTTGCTGAGCCCACATGGTTATTCTTGACCCTCTCACTTCAACTTTGTTAACTTTCAACTTTGTAACTCTCCTCCATCTCTGAATTTTTCCTTATGTAGAATTTATGTTGTTTATGTAAGTTTATTATAAGCAGGTTTCTTTTTTTTAACCACAAATCTGTGCAAGGTAAAGGACTCTGACTAAGCCTAGTGATTTCATTATTGCCAAGAAAACTGTCTGCTTCTTTCTTTAAGCTTTGTACCTGCATTCTCAAAATCATTTTGACATATTTCTTTTCTGAATTTAGAGCTTGAACTCTAGAACATTTTTTTTCTAAGTTATTGATATTTGGTTTGGTCCATTTAGTTCCAAAAGTATTTATTAAATGCCTAATTACTATATGGCATTGTTCTGATTGCTAGTAGGAGCTGAAGATAAATAAGACACACTCGTTGTCTCCAAGTTTCTGAAGTTCTGACAGAGATAATAATTATACACATAAATATACAAGATAAAATATGAAGGGAATAAATAGTGTTTTTCAGTGCATGGAAATAGCTACATTTGGTCAATAAGGATTAGGAAAACCTTTGAAAAGAGGATGCTTTAGAAATGCTTGGAAGAATGGGGGTATTTTATTCATTTTTTGGTATTATATTTTAATTTTTTCCTTATTTTTTTTTTTTTTGAGACAGGGTCTTGTTATATATTCCAGGCTGGCCTCAAACTCATGGTTCTCCCGCCTCAGCCTCCTGAGTGGTGGGATTACAGGTGTGCACCACCACCTTGGACTTTATGTAGCTAACTGGGTGTGGTGGTTCATGCCTGTAATCTCAGCATTTGGAAGACTTAGGTAGGAATATCTCGAGTTTGAGGCCAGCCTGGGCTATACAACAAGACCCTGTCAAAACCCTTCAAGACAATTTGATGTGGCCAAGAGTTGTATATATTTTAACTTACTTACTGAGGCATAAGATGAATAAGTAACTTTAAAAGATCCCAAAGTTAGTAGCAAGATACAAGTTTAGGCTGTGAACCTTAGGGGTTTAACATAGAGTCTACTCTTAAATAGTGTGCTGTGGTTGAATATAATAGCAAACAATTGGGAGCAATGTAAATATCAGAAATTGGGATCATTTGAGAAAGCTGATTGTTTAAAAATGTAATATTTTATAGCTGTTAGAAGTAACAAACATGTATCAGTATAGAAAAATGTTTTAATATTTTAAGAGAGGTTACAATATGTGTAATATTTTACTGTGTCAGAAAAAAAGTATATAAAGTGGGAATAGCAAAAAAAACTGTAAAAGAATACTTATCGAAGCTTGGTGTAAACAAAGGCAGTCCTAAGAGGAAAGTTTATAGCCGTGAGTACATATTTTAAAAGGACAGAAAGATCCCAAATAAACGACCTAATGCTACATTTCAAACTCCTAGAAAAACAAGAACAAGCAAAACCCAAAACAAGCAGGAGAGAAATATAAAAATAAGGGCCAAAGTTAATGAAACAGAGACCAAAAAACCATACAAAGAATCAACGAAACAAAAAGCTGGTTCTTTGAAAAAATAAACAAGATTGACAGACCACTAGCAAATCTGACTAAAATGAGGAGGGGAAAAAACCCAAATCAGTAAAATCAGAAACGCAAAAGGGGAGATAACAACAAACACCATGGAAATCCGGTGACTCATCAGAGACTACTTTGAGAATCTATATTCCAATAAATTTGAAAATCTTGAAGAAATGGAAAAATTTCTAGATACTTATGACCATCCAAAATTGAACAAAGAGGATATTCGCCCCTAATAGATCTGTAACACGAAATGAAATTGAAGCAGCAATAAAGAGTCCCAAAAAAGAAAAGTCCAGGACCTGATGAATTCTCTCCTGAATTCTATCAGACTTTTAAAGAAGAACTAATACCAACTCTCCTTAAACTTTTCCATGAAATAGAAAGGGAAGGAATACGGCCTAACGCATTCTATGAAGCCAGTATTACACTCATCCCAAAACCAAAGACACATCCAAAAAGGAGAATGGTAGGCCAATTTTCTTAATGAACATTGATGCAAAAATCCTCAGTGAAACAATGGCAAACCAAATCCAACAACATATCAGAAAGATCATTCATCATGACCAAGTTGGCTTCATCCGAGGGATGCAGGGGTGGTTCAACATACGCAAATCTATAAATATAATACAGCACATTAATAGAAGCAAAGACAAAAACCACTTGATCATCTCAATAGATGCAGAAAAAGCCTTTGATAAGATTCAACACCATTTCATGTTAAAAGCTCTAAGAAAACTAGGACTAGAAGGAATGTACCTCAACATTATAAAGGCTACATATGACAAACCTATAGCCAACATCATACTTAATGGAGAAAAACTGAAACCATTTCCCCTAAAATGAGGAACGAGACAAAGGTGCCCACTTTCCCCACTTCAATTCAACATAGTCCTGGAATTCCTAGCCAGAGCAATAAGGCATGAAGAAGAAATAAAAGTAATACAAATAGGTAAAGAAACTGTCAAAATATCCCTACTTGCAGATGACATGATCCTATACCTCAAAGACTCAAAAAACTCTACCCCAAAACTCCTAGACACCATAAACAGATTCAGCAATGTGGCAGGATACAAAATCAACTTACAAAAATCATTGGCTTTTCTATATACCAACCATGAACAAACTGAGAAAGAATATATGAAAACAATTCCATTTATAATAGTCTCAAAAAAAAAATCAAATAACTATGAGTAAACTTAACAAAGGATGTGAATGACCTCTACAAGGAGGACTACAAACCTCTGAAGAAAGATTGAGGAAGATGAAAAGATCTTCTGTGCTCATGCATTGTAGAATCAACATAGTAAAAATGGTTTTGCTACCAAAAGCAATCTACATGTTTAATGCAATTCTCATCAAAATCCCAATGACATTCATCACAGAGATTGAAAATCTACCCTAAAGTTCATTTTGAAACACATGAGACCACAAATAGCCAAGGCAGTACTCAGCAAAAAGAGTAGTGCTGGAGGTATCACAATACCCGACTTCAAACTATATTATAAAGCCATAGCAATAAAAACAACATGGTACTGGCACAAAAACAGACATGAAGACCAGTGGAACAGAATAGAGGACCGTATATGAATCCACACGGCTATGTCCACCTTATTTTTGATGAAGGTGCCAAAAACATACAATGGAAAATAGACAGCCTCTTCAACCGATGTTGCTGGGGAAAGTGGTTATCTCTGCCTGCAGAAAACTGAAACTAGATCCACGTCTATCACCGTGTACTAGTATCAACTCACAATGGATCAAGGGCCTTAATATCAGACCTGAAACTCTGAAGCTAGGACAGAAAAGAGCAGGGAATACTCTGGAAGCAATAGGTATAGGCAAAGACTTCCTCAATAGAACCTCAGCAGCTCAGCAACTAAGAGAAAGGATGGACAAATGGGACTTCATGAAATTAAAAAGCTTCTGTACAACAAAAGAAATGGTCTCTAAACTGAAGAGACCACCCACAGAGTGGGAGAAAATATTTGCTAGCTATACATCAAAGGACTGATAACCAGAATATACAGGGAGCTCAAGAAACTAAACTCCTCCAAAATCAACGAACCAGTAAAGAAATGGGCAACTGAATTAAACAGAACTTTTTCAAAGAAAGAAATCCGAATGGCCAAAAAACACATGAAAAAATGCTTACCATCTCTGGCTATAAAGGAAATGCAAATCAAAACCACACTAAGATTCCACCTCACCCCTTTAAAAATAGCTATCATCAAAAAATACCACCAACAGCAAATGTTGACGAGGATGTGGGGAAAATGGAACCCTTATACACTGCTGGTGGGAATGTAAACTAGTACAATCACTCTGGAAAACAATGTTGAGGCTTCTTAAAAAACTTAATATAGGGCTGGTGGAGTGTCTGTCTAGCAAGCATGAGGCCCTGAGTTCAAACCCCAGTGCCACCAAAAAAAAAAAAAAAAAAAAAAAACCTTGTCTAAAAACTTAATATAGCTCTGCCATATGATCCAGCAATCTTACTCCTAGGGATATACCCAAAGGAATGCGACTCAGGTTATTCTATAGGCACCTGCACACCCGTGTTTATTGCAGCACTATTCACAATAGCCAAGTTATGGAAACAGCCAAGATGCCCCCACTACTGACGAATGGATTAAGAAAATGTGGTATTTATACACAATGGAATTTTACTCAGCCATGAAAAATAATGAAATCTTGTCATTCACAAGTAAATGGATAGAACTGGAGAGCATCATCTTAACTGGTTAGCTAGGCTCAGAAGGCCAAAAATCCTGTGTTCTCCCTCATATGTGGACTTTAGACCTAAAACAAATGTAGTAATACTATTGGACACAGGTCACACGCTAAGGGAGAACACATACAGGAGGAATAGAGAAAGGTAGGAAACCCAAAACTTAAAAGGGTTTGATGTGCCTACTGTAGAGGAACTAATATAGTAACCTTAAAATGACAGAAGTCAGTATGGGAAGGTGACCAGGAAGTGGTGAAGAGGTCTGGTAGAGATGAATCAGTTAGAGTTTTAATACACATGTGCATGGAAGCAATGCTAGGAATCTCTCTGTATTGCTGTCCTTATCTCAATCTAGCAAAAATGCTATGTCTTTCTTATTATTGCTTATGCCTTCTCTTCAACAAGATTGGAGAAGAGGGCAGAACAGGTTCTGCCTGAAAGTGAGGGACTGGGGCGGAGGGGGAGGGAGCAGAGGGCACAGGGCAGTGGAGATTGCCCAAACAATGCATGCATATATGAATAAATGAATAAATAAACCCAAAAAACAAAAGCTTGCTGTGGTGGCTCAAGCCTGTAATCCTACTAGCTACTTGGGAGGATCATGGTTGGAAGTCAGCCGAAGCAAAAAGTTCATGAGGAAACACCCCCACACACACACTGCCTCAACCAATGCTTGGTGTTATTCCAGCTATACAGGGAAGAGCAAATAGGCAATCCCAGGCTGGCGGTGGGGAAAGGAGGAAAGGAGGTATAAAGTGAGGCATTATCTCAAAAATAACCACTGTAAGCTGACAGAGCAGCTCAAGTGATAGACTGTTAGCCTAGCAAGCACGATGCCCTGAGTTCAAAAACTCCAGTACTACCTCTCTCTTGCCCCCCCCCCAAAAAAAAACAATGCTAAAGGGCTGGTGGAGCAGCTCAAGTCAGAGTTCAACCCCCAGTATGGCTTAAAAAAAAAGAATACTCATTAGATTTCTGGGTAATGGGATTATGAGTGATTTATTTATCTTTTATCATTTTCTGAAATGAATGTGTAGGATTAGTAATAAAAATATGTATGTTTTTTCTTGAGACACAGGGTCTTGCTGTGTAGCTCAGGCTAGCCTTGAACTCATGATCCTTATGTACTGTTTTTAGAGAAATATTGGAAGATAGAAACTCAGAACAATGAAAATGGCCATCGATATTTTTTACCCCCAGTGAATTATTTTATTCCTTCAGTCTACATACCCAACTCTTTTTTAATAGTTAGTTTCACGTTATCACATATCATAACCTTTTTTCATGTTGTTTCAGATTCTGTATTATATAATTTTTAATGTTTGCATAAAAGGATATACTTAATTCCTGTTTTGGGATTATTTTGAAGATTTTGCTATTATGTGTGAACTATAGTGAAATTTTTTTATACCTAACCTTTTTCTTCTCTATTTCAAGTTATTTCTTTAGGATAGATTCTTAGAAATGGAGTTACTGTGTAGAAGGCTAGGATTTTGATAGATGATCAGGAGCTTCAGGAAGGAGGAAGAGGAACAAACACTTCTAGAATTGATGCCATGTACTTCATATGCTACCCATTTAAAACCAGGTTATCCCACTAGTCGAGATGCCAAGAGTGATTGCTGGGTTAAGCTGGTGACATTTTAGTTTAATAAGAGCACAGACATTAATAGGAGATTGGCCTAACCTGTTGCCTATAATCTTCCTGAATCCGCTGGAGTGAAAATCACCTTTTATTTCATTGAACTTTATAGCATGTTGATTGTATTGCTCATATGGCATTTTCCCATTCTCACTTGTTTTACATTTGTATTTGTCTAGGCAAAAAACCTTTTGAAAGTAAAGTTTTTGTTTTTTACCTCACCTAGCACAGTATCTTGAATGTAGTATATATGTTTCAGACTACCAACCTTCTTATGTATTATATCACTCCCTTATGTAATATCACTGCTTTGAAAGATATTTCAGAAAGCTGGTAATGTGATTTAGAGTAGATTATAGAAATAAAAAATAGACCTGAGCTCTATTTTTATATTTTTCAGTTTTTCAGTGGTAGATTGCTTGGGTAGCATGCATAAGGCCCTAAGTTTGATCCTTAGCACTGCATACAAAAAAAAAAAAAAAAAGAAAAGAAAAGAAAGGAAAAAAACCTGAACCATTCATATTAATTTTTTTCTTACTGTTTTTGAGTGCTTTTTTTTTTTTCTTTTTTTGGCGGCACTGGGGTTTGAACTCATTGAACCACTCCACCAGCCCTTTTTTTGTGATGGTTTTTTTCAAGATAGGATCTCTCAAACTATTTGCCCTGGACTGGCTTCAAACTGCAATCCTCCTGATCTCTGCCTCCTGAATAGCTAGGATTATAGGCTTGAAGCTTGAATGCATTCTTTTCTTTTCTTTTTCCTTCCTTCCTCCCTTCCTCCCTTCATCCCTTCCTCCCTTCCTTCCTTCCTTCCCTCTCTCTTCTTTTTCAGTGCATTCTTACTCCTTTTGTAGATTTCCTTTATTTCTTTTAATTTACAGCTAGCTTGTGTTAAATTTTTTTTTCTTAATGATTTATATTATTCATAGGCTTATAAAATTTTTTGTTGCCTTTCCCCAGGCTGGATTTTGATGATGATGGAGAAGGAAACAGTAAATTTTTGAGGTAAGAGTTTGGAAATTTCCCTCTAGACTAGTTAATGATCTTGTACTATTTTTGTAGGCCTAAGAAGAGTGCTTCATCCTAAAGTATATATTTTCATATTATATCCCAGAAAGGTTTTGAGCATTCTGTTAATAATTTCAGAGGTAGGAACTTAGTGAAGAGAGGGCAGAAAATTTATATGACCCCCTATAAATTAGTTACCTGTTGAGCATGGCTTAAAAAGAAAGCAGTTTATTTTATCTCACAGTTCTGTGAATTGACTGCATGGTTATTTGCCAGTCTTGCCTAGACTCGTGCAGAAGACTGCATTTGGCCTTATGGTCAACTGAGAGACTCAGCTATGATGGCTACATATCTCTCTCTTGTGGTCTTTTGTCCTTAAGAAGGGAGGACTACGTTTCTTCATATGGTGATGGCTGTTATGTAAGTGTAACTGAGTGGCAAATCCCACTGTACTTAACAAATTCCTGCTTTTATGGCATTTACTGATGTCCCATTGGCAAAAGCAAGTCATGTTCATGTCCTGAGTCAGTGTTGGAGATTCCCACACAAGGAAGTGGATACTAGGAGATACAGTTTGTTAAAATACTACTCTTACCATACCTTCTGATACTTGTTGACTTCTCCTAGAGGAAGCAGGAATTGGAATTTGTATTCTTGAGTAATGAATCTCGTGGAACATTGAGAATGGGTTTTTAAATATACTGATAAAGGAGTTCTTCCAAAAAGGGAGTGATATTACTGAATACTAAATGATTTGCTTGTTTTCGTGTGAATAGACTTTATTTATTTCAATTAGCTCTAAACCTGGGTCATTTCTTGTACAAAGTCCAATAGTCACAAACTGTACTCATGTGCTGCATAACAACATATTGGTCATAAATGATCACTATGATAGTAGTCCCATATAATGGGAGCCACAAAATTTCTACTGTCTAGTGGTGGTGTAGCCATTATAACTTCATGGTGTGAGGCATTGCTCCTATGTTTGTGGTGATGTTGAAAAAAACAAACATACTGGGTTGCCAGTTGCATTTAAGTATAGCATATAAAATTATGATAATGAACAGCTGTTACTTGTGTATTTATTTATTTAATCATTTTATTTTGTGGTGGTGGGGATTGAATCCAGGGACTATCGCATGCTAGGCAAGCACTCAACCACCAAGCTTTGTCCTTAGCTCCTGTTACTTGTTTTATAGTGTGCCTCTTTTTTTTTTTTTTTTTCCCCCTTTTGATTTTTTTGAGACAGGGTCTTGCTATCTAACCAAGGCTTGCCTGAAGTTTGCTATGTAGCACAGGTTGGCCTGCAACTTGAGGTTCTCCCACCTCAGCTTCCTAAGTGCTGGTATTACAGGTCTCCACCATCATACCCAACTTGCCCCTTATTATTAAAAAAAAAAAAAATTACTGTTAAACAGTGTGCCATTAAACTGTCAATTCTGTGAGACTTAACCTGACTTCCAAAAGCAATTCTTATTTAAAGTTGATAAAATCTTTGCTGTGTCCTGTGGGAGTGAGAAAAGGAAAATTCAGACCATCCAGAGAATAGTGCTTTTGGAATTAGGTCTTCTGCTTTCAATATATCTTTCTTTACAATTTTTGTAGTACCAAACAGAATTTATCTGCCTATTACATAGAAGATAGGATGAGTGGAATGAGTTTCTTTTATCAAAGAGATAAAGTGCATTGCTCTGTCTTAAAAACTTCTTCACATTAAAGGAAACAATCAACAGAGTAAAAAGGCAACTATGGAATTGGGAGAAAATACTTGCAAATCATGTATTTTAGAAGGGATTAATGTCTGGGATTTCTAAAGAACTCCTATAATTTAGCAACAACAACAACAAAAAAACCTGATTAAAGAGTGGGCAAAAGGGTGTGGTGGTGTATGCCTATAATTCCAGCATTCAGGAGGTAGAGGCAGGAGGATCTTGAGTTTGAGGTCATCCTGGGTTATACAGCAAATTTCAGCCCAGCCTGGACCAGTCAGTATTCATGGAGAGGCAGAGCTGCCTGTGTTGCTGTTGTAGGGATGAGAAGACCTTCTTTCTACCTTCAGGGCTTAGTGTCTGAATCTGTGAGTCACATTGACAACAGGCAGGTAAGCAGAAGAAAAGGTGGATAGCTTTATGATGTGCATGCCCTGAAGGTGCTCTAGTGGTGTGGGGGGTGTCACAGGAAATCAAAGTGAATATATAAAAAACCAGTGCCCTCCTCAGAGGGATGGGGAGGGAGATGTTGTAGGCAACTCTGAACAGCATAGATGATTTGGAAAGATGAATGGGCCGTAGAATAATGAGCATTTGTGACAAAGTTTTTGGTTGAGTTAATGAAACTCCTGGGAAGGGACTTGTGGCCATCCATTTCTTTCTGTCTTGACGCAGACAAAGGGAGTTGGGAGAACAGAATTTTGTTTTTCACATGCCTTGTGCTCAAAGTAGTCAGTATAGACCAAAGCATCATGTTTGTGGTCACATTTCCCAACTCTTCTGAGTTAGGGTCTCTGCTCTTATTCACTACCACTCTGACTGGGGAAACAGACAATAAACTGGATAAACAAATGAGATAATTTCAGTAGCACAGTGATAAATGATAACTGAGGGAGTACTGACAGGTTTACTTTTATTTATTTATTTGCAGTAGTGGGCTTGAACTCAACCTCATGTTTGGTAGGGAGGCACTCTACCACTTGAGCCACTTCACCAGCCCTTTTGTGTGTGTGTGTGTGTGTTGGTTTTTTTTTCTGGATAGGGTTTTGTGAACTATTTGCCTGGGCTGGCTTCGAACTTCAGTCCTCCTGATCTCTGCTTCCCAGGTAGCTAGAAGTACAGGTATGAGCCACTAGCTCCTGGCCAGACAGTTTTAGATTAGGGATTAGAGAGGCCTCTGGAGAGGACACATTCCAGCTGCAACTGAAATGCTGATAAACAACCAGAAATGGAATGACTGGTTTAGGTAGAATGGCACAGAACTAGGGAGGCTTTTGGAAGAGGAAGTTAAAAGTGCAAAGGCCCTGAGGCAATAGGGAAGGGATGTAACTATTGTGGAAAATATAAAAGGATTCTCTAGTAGGGCACAGTGAGGGAGGAGGGCACAGTGAGAGAGGTAAGTACCAGGAACTGACCTCAGAGAAGGCAAGAGCCAAAGCCCTGGGGCCTTGCAGATAGTGGTGAGTTTTGCTCTTCTTGGAAGAGTTAGGGAGGAGTCTTGTTTTTCTGTAGTGTTTGAATTTTTTTAATACCATTTATGGATTCCTATCAGAATCACCAAAAAAACAGATTTAAAAATGGGGGAAAAATGGATAAAGGACTTGGCTAGACATTTCTTCAATGAAGAGATACAAATGGCCAATAAGCATATGAAAGATGTTCAACATCACTAATCATCAGAGAAGTATAAATCAAAACAATTATGATATGTCATTTTAGATCTATTAGGATGGATACTATCAAAAAAAAAAGAAGCAACTGGGCCTGGTGGCTGGTGCCTGCCTATAATCCCAACCCACAGGATGAGGCACAAGGAACATAGTGAGGCCCTGTCTCAACAAACTAGGCTAGAAGTGTGGCTCAAGTGGTAGAGTGCTTCCCTAGCAAATGTGAGGCCTTGAGTTCAGGTCCCAATACTACAAACAACCCAAAAACAACACCAAAAAATCTAGAGAATAGGTATTGACAAAGATGTGGAGGATATGGAATGCTTGTGCGCTATTGATGGTGATGTAAAATGGTGTAGTCACAATGGAAAACCATATGGTGGTACTACTTCAAAAGTTAAACATTGAATTACCTTCAGTTCCCCTGCTGTTACATATCTAAAACAACTGAAAGCAGGATTTAAAAACAATTTTTTTTTTGAGATGGGGTCTTGCTGTTTTGCCTAAGTTGGCCAAGTAGCTGAAATTACAGCTATGCAGCACCCAGCCCAGTTTAAAGCAGGGTTCTTCTCTTTTTTTTTTTTGGTGGTACTGAAGTTTGAACTTAGGGCCTCGCTCTTGCTAGGTAGAGGCTCTACCACTTGAGCAACAGCTCTTGAAGGAGTTATTTGCATGACCATGGTTATTACCCTATTTTTCACAATAGCCAAGAGGAACAAGGAGCCCAAAGTCTATCTACAGATGAATGGATAAAGAAAAAGTGGTATATACACAAAATGGAATATTATTGAACCTTAAAAAGAAGGAAATTCTGTCGTATGTTATAATATTGATGAAAAGACAAAATACTATATCATGTCACAAGGGTTATCTAAAGTAATCAAACTCACAGACACAGAAAGTAGAATGGTAGTTGCCAGGGGTCGATGGAAGGGCAAAATGGTGTCCAATAAGCATAGTTCAATTTTGCAAGATGAAAAGGTTCTAGATATCTTTTCTGTCACATTATGAATATGGTTAACATTGCTAATTATATACCTAAAAATAGTTAGTATGGTAAATTTTGAACTGGGGGTGTGGCTCAAGTGGTAGGGTGGGTCCCTAGGAAACTTGAGGTCTTGAGTTCAAACCCCAGTACCATCAAAAGAAAAAAGGTAAATTTTATGTGATGTGGTTTTTTTTACAAACAAAAAACCACCTATCCCTAACTTTGTAGTGGTGTTGATAGGGCAGTCAGCTGTGTCTTATGAGATCATCATGTTTTTTTGTATGTGTCTGATAAGTAAGGGTAATGAAGACATAAGAATATTAGTCATAGAATTTTAAAGTTCTCTAGGATGCTGTACTATTATTATCTCTATTGCTTTACGATGCTTTCCCATTGATTTTTTTACCCCATTGAACATTTTATTCCTTTCTAGTTTTAATTTTATGTTTAATTAATTTATTTAGGTGGAACTGGGGTTTGAACTCCTGGTAGGCAGGTGTTCTACCACTTGAGCCACTTCACTAGTCCTCTAGTTTTAATTTTAGAGTGAAATAGATAATAACAAGTGTGATGCTTTAAATTAATCCCTTTTTTCCTTCTCTAGGTGTGATGATGATCAGATGTGCAATGACAAGGAGCGTTTTGCCAGGTAATGTTGTAGAGCATTTTGGTCCTTTTATGGGACCAGGCAGTTTGAGCATGCTGAATTTTAATATTATCTAGGTGAGAGTAAGTTTCTCTATCTAGTCTTTTTCCTATACTGAAAGGTGGTGAAACAGTATTATAATCATCATGTATGTTCTGGTGACATGGCTTTAAACTAGTGGTATATTTTATATAGTGCTTTTCTATGTATGTGATAGCTGCAGAGTGCTTGCTAGTTGTTTTCAGGAACACAGCTATAGATATTTTGGTTGTGTTTATTATTAAATTGATACAGATAATGATTTTATTCATTAAGAAATGACAATAGAGAAATAGCTTTTGTGGAGACTAGAGTTTTGATTAAAATAAGCAAATTTTAATTTATTTGTCAAGATGATGAATACTTATCATGAAATATACTTATTCCCCCCTCCCTTTTTTTTTTGGCAGTACTGGGACTTGAACTCAGAGCTTCAATGCTTGCTAAGCAGGTGCTCTTTCTTATTGGTTTTCTGAGCCAGGGTTTTGCTCTGTAGCCCAAGCTGCCCTGGAACTGGAAATCCTGCTTCAGCTTCCTGAGTGAAGGGATTAAAGATATGTACCACCACACTCAGCTTATTTTACTTTTTATTAAGGAGTAAATCCCCAACTCAGATACTTATTTTCATTTTAGAAAGTTTGTATATATTATTAAGCAGTAACTTATTCTTTTTCTTTTTCTTTTTTTGGTGGTACTTGGGTTGGAACTCGGCCTCATGCTTGCTAGGCAGGCACTTTACCACTCAAGCCACACCTTCAGCCCTTTTTGCTGAAGTTATTTTTCAGATAGGGTCTGATGTTTTTGTCTGGGCTGTTCTGGACCACCATTCTCCCATTTACACCTCCTATTTATGCTTCCTGAATAGCTGGGATGACAGGTGTGTGTCACCACACCTAGCTTTATTAGTTAAGATGGGATCACACTAACTTTTTGCCTGGATCGGTCTTGAACTGTGATCCTCCTAATCTCTGTTTCCTGAGTAACTGGGATTATAGGTGTAAGCCCCCACACTGGGCTGTAATTTATTCTTTAAAAATTAAGTTTGTAAACAGGGCGCCCGTGGCTCATGCCTATAATCCTAGCTACTCAGGAGGCAGAGATCAGGAGGATCGAGGTTCGAAGCCAGCCTGCGCAAATAGTTTGTGAGACCCTGTCTTGAAAAAAAGAAACCCATCACAAAAAGGGCTGGTTTTGTGGCTTAAGGTGCAGGCTCTGAGTTCAAGCCCTAGTACAACAACAACAAAAATAAGTTCAGAAAAAATAATCTTATTTCAAAATGCAATACTTCTGAGCACTAAGTATTCATTACTGATGCTGACCATCCGGGGACCACTTTGAGAACCTACTGATTTAGAGAACCAAGAAATATGAGGCAGAGTAGCTTTCAAATGGTAAGATGCTATCATAGACTTTGAATTAGAGGATCTGTAAAATACTAGATACTGATATTTCTGCAATTGCAGTAAAGAGAAGGACTATATTTGGGGAGGTAGATAGAAGCTGTTGAAATAATAAGAGCTATAAAATCATGAGCGCATGGGCCAAAGTGATGGCAGTGGCAAAGAATGAATGTAAGTAGGTTTTCAAGAATAATTTATGAAAACAATTTGAAATAGATAATTATAAAGTCTATTTAGGATGTGAACAGTCTCTAAAATGAGAAGTTAATGATAGATATTTGGCAAATACTTTTTAAACTGTATTAAAAAGTCAAGCTTGGACTAGGAGTATGGCTCAAGTGGTAGAGTGTCTGCTTACCAAACATGAGCCCTGAATTCAAACCCCAGTATTGCCAAAAAAAAAAAAAAAGTCACACTGTCAATTAGTATGTGTGGTACAGGTTCCCAGTCTCTTGACTGAAATTCCAAAAAGCAATGAAAACGTGACCTGAACTATTTTAGTCTTCATTTGTTCTACTTAATGTCCATATTGCATTCATACATTTTATTAAAAAATATTAGAGTAGATAAGGTATTGTGGACCGGACTGGTAGTAATAGGAGTAGTAATAGGAACTTTTTCTCTTGGCGAGCGGTGGGGGACACAGTACTCAGGGCTTTCTGCTTGCTAGGTAAGCACTCTACCACTTGAGCCACACCTCCAGCCAGGAAGTTTTTCTTTCAAATAACAGCACTCATTCCTTTAAGAAATAATTGTTAAAATAGTTCATTTCACATATGCATGGGAATTTAAGAGGGTCTTCAAAAGCTGAAAAAGTATGAATTTTATCATCTTTTGAAAAAATATTTTGTAGTTTATTAAGGAACTATCCAAAAGTAATAACCTAAGGAACATAAAATTCTAAACTACTTAATACCATGTGGTGATCCTTCTCTCTTTTATCAGAATGTATGTATAAAATTTTACATGGTTGTCATTATTACTAGAATTTCCCCACATATAGGAAAGTCATTGCTTTTTGTTTGCTTAGTTTTGGGTTGGTTTTTTTTGAGGCCGTCTTGCTATGTAGCAAGGCTGGCCTGAAATTCACTATGTAGCTCAGGCTACCTTGAACTCATGATCCAACTCCCTCAGCCTCCCAGAGTGGTAGGATTACAGCTGTGCCACCATGCCCAGCCTTGTCATTGTCATTTTTGATAGCTAAATTTTTTAGTTTGTTAATATGTCATACTTTACTTAGACATTTTAACTGAGGTTTATCTATCAATCTAAAATAGAATTGTGTATGGATATAATGACCCGCTAACACCCGATTTTTTTTTTTTTAAGTTGCCACCCACTCTTACAGTATCTCAGTTTCTGAAAAATTATAGTGATAATTCTGGGGCTAGCGGAGTGCCTCAAGCAGTGAGAGCTCCTAGCAAGTGTGAGACTCTGAGTTCAAACCCCAGTGCCTCTTAAAAAAAAAAAAAAAAGATAGTGATAATCCTTTTTCCTTCTCAAGGGGAAGAGGGGTTGAGTTAACAGTTTTGATTATATTACAGAAAATGGTAAGGTGACTGAATCAAAATGAATAATTATTGCTTGGCATGGTGGCTCATGCCTATAATTCAAGCTACTCTGGAGACAGAGATTGGGAGGATCACACTTCAAAGGCAACCTGGGCCAAAACTTAGACCTCACCTCAACAAAAAAATCTGGATGTGGTGGCACACTTCAGGTTCACCTGGGCAAAAATACAAGACTGTATCTCAAAAATAACCAAAGCAAAAAGGGAAGGGGGGGCATGACTCAAGTGGTAGTAGAGTGCCTGTCTAGCAAGTGAGAGACCCTGAGTTCAAAACTTAGTAACACCAAAATAAATAAATAAATAAAAATTAAGAGTTACTTTAGGAAAGCATCAATTATAGAGTATATGCCAAAAATCTAGCTCTGAGTTTTAATTATATAATTCCTCCAGTAAAATCTGGTCAGTTATTTTGTCTGAGCTTTCGTGCATGCATGTGTGTGTATGTGTGTGTGTGTGTGTATGTGTGTGTGTGTGTGTGTGTTGTGCAAGTATGTAGGAGATTGTATTTGTGATCACTTGTTTAACACTCATCCTTAATTTACTCTATCTTTAATTTTTTCATCATATTGGGAGTATTGGGAGTATTGTATGAGAATGATATTCCTGAATTCCCTTGGTTGCTTTTTGTTCAAATTCTGTATATGCTTGGTCTCTGTAGAGATTGACAAAATGCTTTGTGTGTTCAGATCACATTAATTTATAATTGGCTTTACTTTTTTGTTTACCTGTTCCTTGTAAGTTAATTTTCTTTTTTTTTCGGCAGTACTAGGGGTTGAACTCAGGACCTTGCGCTTGCTAGGAAAGTGCTCTATTACTTGCGCTGTTCTTCCAGCCCAAGTTAATTTTTCTTTATCCTAATTCAACTTTATAGATTACAGACAAGGTTCCTGCCCATATTTCCATTTCTTTCCTTTTCTCTGCATCTGTTTTATTTCTTCTTCTTTCCTTCTTTCCCTCCCTCCCTCCCTCCCTCCCTCCCTTGTTTCCTTCCTTTCTTTTTATTTTAATTTTAGCTTAGTTCATTAATTCTGTTTTTAGGTCGGATGATGAGCAGAGCTCTGCGGATAAAGAGAGACTTGCCAGGTAGGAGAAGAGTGTCATTTAGCATGATGAAGCAGATGCTGCTGCTTTTCTTTTCCTTTTTCCTTTTTTTTTTTTCTTTCTTTCTTTTCCTTTTTCTTACCCTGTCTTTTCTTCCCATTTTTCTTTGTATTTTTCCTTATCTGTGGCAAGTGAGGACAAGATTTTTTAGAAGTTTGGGTGTAACAGGAACATTGGCATCCCCCATCACAAAGTGGGTAATTCGAGGGAACTTTACTTACAAATTTAAGAAATCCCTGTATAATAGCATTTGAATTTTTCTCTTTTTATCTCAGCACTAAGTGTCACAGAATCAAAAGGATTTAGAAATAATGCAGCTTTGCCAGTCTGTGCTTTAGTAGGAAATACTATTTTTATCAGAAAACCAATAAACATACCTGTATTTGCTATTAGTTCCCAGTATTTTCGTTTCAGCATTTACTCCACACCTCTCTAGAAAACTCATATTTTCCTATGTAGATTCACAGCCTAGATTACTATGTTACAATAGAATTGATGCTGCTTTGGTGATTGAATCCTTACTTGTGATTTCCCAGAAAAGTTTTAGCTGCCTTGGCATTACTAATTAAAATATCAGGTTTCTGGACTTCACTGTCAGAAATGTGTTGTATACTAGGAGGATGGGTGCTTTAAGTTTGAGTAGAAATACCCATGTTTTAGGCAAAGTAACTAAATATTGACCTATGTGGTGAGACCTTTTTGCCATTTGGAATCTCTTTGGAGACTGTTATCATAACAAGTTTGAGCTGCTCCTTGCCCAAACTTTATGTAGTCTGTCTGATTTGGAATGCCTTAGTTGGAAATAGATCATTGATGCAATACCTATTTTTACTACTTTCTCCCTCTTATTTACATTTACCTCTTCTGTCTGGGCCACAAACTCAGTTTGCTGCTATTTCAACCCATGCTGTTAACTAATGTTTTCACTCTTGAGAAAACTGATTCAGCATGATGTGGTGAGGAAAGCATAACAATGGGAATGAGGGCAGCCCTAGGAAAAGTCACTTAACTGCTTGACCTCAATCTCCTCATCTCATAAAAGGGAAAATTGTCAGGTTAGTTGATTTTTTTTAAAACAAGGAACTTTTGTTCAAATAGAATCATTTAGTGGTAACAGCAAATAAAAGATAAAGCAAAGAAGAAGCAGAAATGCAGCATGTTGTTTAATTTCTTTTTTTCTTTTTCCCCTTAAGGTATCCTCATGGAGGACACTGGGCTTTTCAGAATTCCTTTTGAGAACTACTGGATTATTCCTCTTAATAGTGATATAATTCTATCTCAGTTTTGAGGATGTTGTTGGAGATGTGGTCTGCTTAACCTAGTATGATCTAAAATGTGTCTAGGCCTTTAAGTATCCTCCTCTCCATCGTACTCTTATTCCTCAATTCACTTTGTCCCAACTGGGACATATGGTATCTTAGGGTCTCTTAAGTTCATTGTATGGCACCATACAGATAAGACAGTTGGACTTCATGAATTAGTGGGACAAATAAAACTTCAGAATTTCCCAGTTCTGCCTTTTAACATCACAGTGAGAAACTTACAACAAAGCAACATTCTGTAGCCCAAGGGAACCTACCACTTCTTACATCAGCTTTTGAGCAACATATTGCAGATGGCAAAACTTGTTCATTTTATTTTCTAGCCTTTAAACAACTAATAAACACATAGTCAAGCTGATAGCTTCTTGGCCTTTTGGCTGAGATCAAGTGTAGTATCTGTTATTGTCAGTCAGTCAAGCTGAGATGACTCTTAGGAATTTAAGGAAATGAAATAAACATTTTAAAATACTGTCATTTCTTAAAACAGTTTTTGTTCTAAGGGAATGGTAGTTTACATAGGAAGTGAAGTTTTTAGGAGATAGAGGAAATTGTGGTATCTGCTTGTTCTTTCTCTACCTTGTTAGTCTCTGTTCCATGCTTGCTCTGCATGAGAAGGTTGCCAAACCTAATTTCAGTTCTGATACTTAAGTATTCATTAAACGTAAAGCTGCTTTCTTCAATATTTAAATACTACATTGTGCAGCAGCACACTTGGTATCCTTTCCATTCTCCCCTCAAACAAAAGATCTCGTGATCACCTGGATAGGGCTTCTCCTTTCTCTCTCTGTGCAGGGAAAATCACAGTGAAATTGAACGGCGGAGACGGAACAAGATGACAGCTTACATCACAGAACTGTCAGATATGGTACCCACCTGTAGTGCCCTGGCTCGAAAACCAGACAAGCTAACCATCTTACGCATGGCAGTTTCTCATATGAAGTCCTTGAGGGGAACTGGCAATACATCCACTGACGGATCCTACAAGCCATCTTTCCTCACTGACCAGGTTGCTGGGATTTACATCTATGAAAGAGTCTGAATTTGGGTTACTCTGTTGGAAGTTTTTATTTATTTGTTTTTTTTGGGAAAATTCAGACCATGGAAAATTGAGTTTCAGTCCTTGTCTGAATAAGTAGTGGGAGAAGTAAAAAAGAGTTGTGAAACTATTCAGCAGGTTTATAGGTATTTTAGAATTTGCCTCATAAATACAGCCTGTAAGATAAAAGAACAGTGAAATCCTAGAGAGAAGGGATTACTATGTCTGTGGAACCAGTCCTTTCCTTTAGGGAATGGAAGAAATCTGTTTTTCTTCCCTGAAGCAGCTTATAGTTTTAGTGATAGGAGAGTCTAATAAGCTGTCATTGTTGCTCAAGGATAGACTCTGTTACATTTGATGTGCCATTACAAAAATAGAGAAAGCAGAAAAATAAGTCTTGCCTTTTAAGACTTTTAACTCAGTCTGAATATAATATATAAGTGATGCATCGAGGAGGGATGAAGGAGAATGATGGAAGGAGTGAATTCAACTATCATATATTGTAAGAACTTTTGAGAGCTTGTTTGGAGATTCTAGCAGGGAGCGCAACTACTCATATACCCTTGACCAAAGAACAGTCCTTCTCTATTAGGAATGGTTGTCGCTTTGACCAAGCACGCAGCTTTGGGAGGGACATACGTGAAGTGGTGAGGGAGGAAGGGGACACCCACCTAGCTAGCCAGATCAGCCGAAGCAACCCTGGCAATGAATGGGGTGGCAGATGTCGCAGCCAGATTGCCCTCACATCCAATTGTTAGAACTTTTGTAAATGTCTCAATGTACGCCCAGTACAGCAGCAATATGATACTGAAAAAATGTGAGTGGCAAGATACACAAGTGAAAAATGATAGGAAGATGCATACAGAGAAGAAATGACTTTTTTTCCTTATTGATAATTTGTGTGTGACTAGATAAATATATACTTGGAAGGGATGGCTAAGGTGATTAGAATTGAGTAGACTTGAGTAAAGGTCATTAGGAAAGACATGTTCTAGTTTGATTAAATAACACATGGTCATTGTTGAAAATTTTGGAAAATACAGGAAGTATAAGAAAGAAAAAATGTATCTGTAATTCCACCATTTTAATTATTTAGAAAGAAGAACGGAATATAATTTGGGAGAAAGGAATATTTGAAAGCACAAATAGGACATTTTGTAGTTGTACATTGAAATAGTTAATTTTCTCTACCAGTACACATGCAGATACTGATTCAACGAACTCCAGTTACACATCTTTTGTAGCAAGTCAAGTGCTTTGTGCTACGAGAAATTGAATTGTAAGAGATAGTTACTTGTGTGAACAGACATGTAAATTAATAAATCATGAACACAAAACCAGTTCTATAGTTAAGGGGCAGCAATAAAGCTTGTAGAAGTGCAGATATACAAAATGAGTAATTGCAGTTGCAGCATGGTGTAGGTTTGGGGAATAACCTGAGAAAAACTTAGGTGTGCAATTGAGTTAATTAGGTTTAGCATGCTTTGGGAGATGACAGTAGAAAGGTAGACTGGGACCTGATGGTAAAATGTTTATGTGTTTGTTAAAGAATTTAGATTTTAATTTTTAGGTAGTGAGGAGCCATAAAAAATAAAAACCACTATCATTTTAAGGATGGATTAGAGAGACAATAGCAGCAACACCATGTCATTTGTCTTGATACAAGATGACTAGGACAGTGGCATAGTATTGGAAAATAGAACTGGTAAAACTAAGTTATCACTGGAATATAGATTTCTTCCAGTATTCCTTTTTTTGATTAACAACATCCTCCCAGGCTAAAAACCTTAGGAAAAAGGAGTTGAATTGGCAATTAGGAGGACATTAGTAAGCTCCTTGAAAATTAATATAATGGCTTAGAGAAAAGATTGAGGAATAATTGAGAAGCAAGAGAATAAAACCATTGAATATAACATTATTCTTAGTGTAAAGTTGGCACTGAACACTGGTCAAATTGAGAGAAGATTTGTGTATAATCAAGAAAACATTGTGTTTATAGGCTTGAAGGGAAAGACAGAATGTAGGGATATTTGTCAAGAAGATCCTAAAAAGAGAGTAGAAGGTGGAAACCTGGGGCTGTGGATCAGGTATGAACCACAAATTGTTTATGGAGAGATGCATAAGATCTTGCTTCTCCCCATGAGTAGAAATAATTGTTTTTCAGAGTTCGTTATTAACTTCCATTTCATTTTCTTGGCCAGGAACTGAAACATTTGATCTTGGAGGCAGCAGATGGCTTTCTGTTTATTGTCTCCTGTGAGACAGGCCGGGTGGTATATGTCTCTGATTCAGTGACTCCTGTTTTGAACCAGCCACAGTCTGAATGGTTTGGCAGCACACTCTATGATCAGGTGCACCCAGATGATGTGGATAAACTTCGTGAGCAGCTTTCCACTTCAGAAAATGCCCTGACAGGTAAGAGTTATGTGGATGACAAATGAATGGGAAGTCCTTCTTTATTGTTGTGAGGTATAAGTGGGGTTTAAGCTCTTAAATTAGTTCGTTGAATTTGGCAAGGCTTCTAGAATTTTCTCCTTTAATGAATATAATCAGTTCTTTATATTCACATTCAGATTATCTATTTTATGGCACATTTTCAGAAAATGTTTCATTAGTGATTATACTCATATAAAAATTTACTTTTATCTTAATATTGTAAATGAAATAGTGAAGCTCAAACTCACTGAATGTGAAGTTTAAGATTATCATTTGACACCAATGATCAAGAGCTGGGCTTTTTTCTTTTTTGGTGTGACTGGGGTTTGAACTCAAGAGCTTCACATTTGTAAAGCAGGCATTCTACTGCTTGAGCCATGCCTCCAGTCCATTTTGCTCTGGTTATTTTGGAGCTGGGGTCTCCCAAACTATTTGCCTGGGCTGGCCTCGCACTGCAATCCTCCTAATCTCAGCCTCCCAAGTAGCTAGGATTACAGGTCTGAGACACTGGTGCCCAGAGAGCTGAGACTATTATTTCTGTCACAGGAGTTAACATTTTAAATCCAAGTCTTACTTGTTTTTTTTTTTTTTTAAATCCAACTTTTGCCCCCCCCCCATACCAAAAGAACCTTCTATCTCATTTGTGTGAATAATTATAACCTGATATTTTTTCTGTCCACTAGTTGACTTTGTGCTAGGTTCTTTGGTAACAGATTTTCTTAGGGGAGTGACTATTGGTCAGTGTATAAGGTGTTTTTAGTTTTTTGCTTTGTTTTATTTGTTTGGGGTTTTTTTGGTGGAACTAGGGCTTTGAACTCAGGACATCGTGCTTGCTAAGCAGGCACTCTACCACTTCAGCCACTCCACCATCCCCTATTATTGTTGTTTGTATTGCTACTGTTTCCCCTCATCTTAATACTGTTCAGTCCTTTTGCCAACATTTGGCTAGAGAAGAAAAGTTAATTTACTGGGCAACTATAGGAAAAGTTTTAAAATGGAAACAGATAAAAACTCATAGTTATGGCTGAGGATGTAGCTTAGTGGTAGAGTGGCTTGTCTGGCATGCCTATGACTCTGTGTTCTATCCTAGGTATCACAAAACAACAACAAAAACATGGCAGTTAAAATGCAAGAAATGCCAAAATGGCTATACTGATGCTGTTATTTAGTTTTCCCCTCTTTTATACTTTCATGTTTCTAGTTCTTCCTTTTTCCCAAAAGTTAGTTTCTATAAATAAAGGATAGAAGCAGTTTTGTTATCAGACTGATGTGTGTTTCTGTAGCATCTAAAATTACCTGCTTTTAAACCAGTGAGATTCACTGTGTGTGTGTGTATGTGTGTGTGTATAAATAATCAGGCATAAGAATAAAGCCTTGCCTCTTGCTTTCTACTCCTCCTGCCTTCCTTGTACAAGGTTAGTTTCCGTGCTGTCTTTGAACATATAGTGAAATTCATAGGTGAGTATTAAAGTAGTTTGGGCTTCAAAAAACAAAATCCATGTCCTGTTTGGCCTGTTCTGTTAACAAGCAACAAAGTTGGAAGGCATGAATTAATTTGCTTAATTATCCTTGCCTCAAGTATTTCCCTCTAATCCCCCCTCATAAGAATGTACTCCAGATTGTTCTTCACATCCTCCTTCAGGGCGTATCCTGGATCTAAAGACTGGAACAGTGAAAAAGGAAGGTCAACAGTCTTCCATGAGGATGTGTATGGGCTCAAGGAGATCATTTATTTGCCGAATGAGGTGAGTGTGAGGTTTAGGGTTGCAGTTTGGCATAAAAATGATCAAGAGTTGAGACTTTCATTTCTATCAGAGGAGTTAACATTTTAAATCCAAGCTCTTAAGACCCAGATGGAATAAAGTGTTTGGTAAAAGAATTAATAACATTTACTGAACTCTTCCAATGCCAGACACTGTGATAGGTGCTTTATGTCTATCATCTGATTTCATCTCCACATCTGCCCTTGAGAGTAAGATTCATGGTTACCATTTTACTAATTAAAAAATGAATTCAAAGAAATTAACTTCCTAAGATTATATGTAGTGTCTGATATAGAATTTAATTTTAATCCATAGTAGTCTAACTCCAAAACCTGTATTTTTTTTCTGTTAAATCACAATGCAGAATCCATGTACTCAGACCATTTCTGTTTGTTTGTTTGTTTTTGTGGTCACAAATTTGAGATTTCCTTTAGTCTTTCAGTTGGTATATAGTGTTTATATATACTATACTTTTCTTTTTTTTTTTGAGATAAGGTCTTACTATCTAGCCCAAGCTGACCTTGTACTCAAAATCCTCCTGCCACAGCTTCCCAGTGTAGGATTATGGATGTGTTGCACCAGGTTCAGTTGTTTTCTCTTTTGAAGTCCCATCATATAGTAAATGCTTAATTTTGGCTGACTAAATGAATGTTGCATGCAATCAGCAAATTAGTTTGAGTGGTGGGAAATCATTGGAGATGGTAGATGAAAACAATGTGAAAATATGAATATACTTTAACATCCTTAATCAGATTTTATCCAATAGTATAAATAGTGCCTACCAGTATCTCAAACACAGGTGCCAAATAAATACTTGTTGAATGAATGAACTATAAGTGCTGTTACTAGCTTGGATCTCAGACAGTTGCTTAAGCTTTTAAGAGCTTACTTTACTCACCTGTGACGTGAAGCTAAAACTTACCTCAGCTGGTGGAATGGCTCAAGTGGTAGAGCACCTGCCTAGCATGCATGAAGCCTTGAGTTCAAACCCCAGTACCACCAAAAAAAAAAATTCTGGCACTGGTGGCTCATGCCTGTGATCCTAGCTACTCAGGAGGCAGAGATCCAGAAGATAGTTCAGAGCCAACCCAGGCAAAAAGTTTGAAAGACCCTATCTCGAAAAAACCCATTACAAAAAAGGGCTGGTGGAGTGGATTCGCTCACTGGTAGAGCAGGTAGAGTACTTGCGCAGAATGCATGAACCCCTGGGTTCTATCTCCGCACTGTCTTCCCCCCTCAAAAAAATAAAACAACCCTAACCCTCACCCCAAATATGAATTGTATAAAGTAACAGAAGTCACATGCCTAGCACATAGCAGGTACTTAACTTTTTACCACACACACACACACACACACACACACACCACACACACACACACACACACACAATGGTTTACAAAGTTCTCATAAGCGTGTCTAGATACATGACCTCATTTTATTTTTACAGTTTTCTGTAGTGCTTCTTATTAGCCTTATTTTACAGATGAAAAACAAACTCAAGGATTGAGACATAACTCTTCAGGTAATGAGAAGCCAATAGGCATGAAGTGACATGACAAAGGAAGTTTTTTGTTTTTTTTTTTTTCTTTTTAAGATTGATCTGTTAGTGACCATAAAATGGGCTTGATGGAAAAAACTGGAGAAATATTAACTTGGCTACTGGCATAAAAACAAATTTAAGGGGATAACAGCCTGTAGGAGTTGGCAGAAGAGTGTTTAAAAGACTAATTTTGTTGTGTTTTCAAAAGCCTTGGCAAAACCTTGGGCAGACCTCCCCTTCAACATATGCAGAACTTTTGGCAAATAATGACATTCACTTGAGCCATTTTTTCAGAGTTATTATTAATCTTTCTTGATTTCACCCCTCCCACTAGTATCACCACCTGGGCCAAGGTATCTTAAGCTCCTTCTGAGTTTGCTTCTCTAGAAGCAGCCTAGTGGGAGGAAGATGAGGATGGGATAGAATGGAATTTGAAGCCAAGATTTTGAACTTGCAGAACTTTGACTCACTTGTCTTTTTTTTTTTTTTTTTAAATTAAGGGGACCCTTATTTTACCTCTTTGCCTAGTTTTAAGACTAGAGGTCCTCTCTGGATCAGCACAAACAGCTTCTTTTTTTTCTGGAGAGCAACAGGTAGGCCCAAGCCATTCAAACTTACTTTGCTTGCCTACTGAGTGCATCTCTTGGGCCTGGGAATGTAGCTCAGAGGTAGAGCTATTGCATAGCATCTGGGATGCTCTGGGTTCAATAAAAAAACAAAAAGCCAGAAAGGGAGAGAGACAAAAAGAAAGAAAAGAAAAGGTAGTTTTGTGTGTATGTGGGCGTGGTGGGGGAGGTTGGTTAGTTGGTTTTTGGTTTTTTTGAGACAGGGTCTTGCTCTGCTGCTCAGACTGGCCTTGAACTTGCCATGTAGCCCAGGCTGACCTCAAAGTTGTGTTCCTTGTGCCTCAGCCTCTTGAATGCTAGAATTATAGGTGTGCATCACTATACCTGGCTTAAGAAAAGGCATTTCTTAGCCAGGCATTGGTGGTTGACATCTGTAATACTAGCTACTTAGGAGGCAGAGATCAGGAGGATAGTGGTCCAAAGCCAGCCTGAGCAGATAGTTCGTGAGACCCTATCTTGAAGAAACCCATCACAAAAAAACAGGCTGTTGGAATGGCTCAAGGTTTGACCCTGAGTTCAAACTCCAAAAACACAAACAAAAGAAAAAAGAAAAGGCATTTCTTAAACTTACAGTGTAAGTTCATATTGTATAGTAGAAACAGCTACATTGTACTGAGGGATGCTTAGTAGAAATGATGTGTAGGATATTAAGGAAGGAAGGTTTACTTGGAAAGAAAGGTAGTTGGGTATTACGTGGTTTAGTGATTTAGTATCGCCTCTCCACTCTAGACTGCTTAATTTTGTTTTATTTATTTATTTATTTATTTTGAGATGGGGGTGGTGGTTTTCATTATGTTGCCCAGATTGGTTTTGAACTGCTGGGCTCAAATGATCCTCTCTTCTCAGCTTTTTGAGTAGCTTGAGCTGCAGTGGTATCTGCCACACCTGGCTGAATGTTGTATTAATCCATAGTAGTCTATGAATTTGAATTCTAGTTTTGACACTATCTTCTGAAACCTTGGATAGATTACATGATTTCTTTGTGCTTTGGTTTCATCATCTAATACTTGAGGTAATACTAATACCTCATAAAATTGTTTTGAGGATTAAATAATATTTGTAAAGCAATTTAGAACAGAGCAGAGCTTGGCACATATAAAAATTAATGTAGCTGGGCACCAATGACTCACGCTTGTAATCGTAGCTATCCAAAAAAGCAGGATTGCGGTTCAAAGCTAGCCAAGGCAAGTAGTTCAAGAGACCCTATCTCGAAAAAACCCATCACAAAAAAGGGCTGGTGGAGTGGCTCAAGGTGTAGGCCCTGAGTTCAAGCCCCAGTACCACAAAAATAATAATAATAATAATAATAATGTAAATTTTATCTATTCTTTTTACTTTAAAGAAACAAGAGGAAAATAGGATTGAGGGGAGTTGTCCTAGCATTTGCACCTGGCTAAGGAAGGAACAACATAAATAATAATGAAATGTAGCAAATAGATGAGATTGTGGTTAATGTAGAATTAAGTCAGCATATCACAGCTCTTTATTTGTAAATAAAGGATTTTTTTGGAACATAGCCATACCTATGTATTTGCATATTGTCTATGGCTGCTTTTATGGTGTAATGCCAGCATTGACTAGTTACAAAGACTGGCCCACTATGTTGAAAATATTTGCTATCTGGTCCTTTATTGAAATGTTTTACCAACTTTGTGGGGGTGAGGTTTGAACTCAGGCACTCTTATCACTTGAGTCAGTCCATTTTACTCTGGTTATTTTGGAGAGGAGATCTTATGAACCACTTGCCAGGGCTGCCCTTGAACCATGATCCTCCTGATCTCAGCCTTCCTAGTAACTTGGATTACAGGCGTGAGCCACCAATGCCTGGCTTACCAGCTTCTGATGTAGAGAAATCTTTGCATTTGAAGAGCATATAGAACATTTTTTACTTCAAATTCTAGGGCAGTTACGCTTTAGAATTATTAAACCTGACTTGCCTTTATCCTTTCTTATTATTTTGAGCATTGATACCTGTTTTCTGTGTCTAATTGTATCCATAGACTTACCCTGTTAGTATGGAAAATTCATTGCTAATGCAACCTGATTCCTTTCAATCTCTCTGTTCATTGAAACAGGTGTGGCAGTAGCTCTGCGGACCCAGTCTCCATGAATAGACTGAGCTTTGTGAGGAACAGATGCAGGTGAGGTCCTAAGTAGTATAGACCAAAGGGATGGTAGAAAACATCACTTTTCCACTTACTTTACTACCCTCATCTCTCATCTACCAGTTACTTTTTTCTGGCAGTATTTTCCTGAACTTAAGGGTTTCTCCTGCTAATTCTGTTTTTAAAAAGTTACCTACTTCTTTACCTACCTTTCTCCTGCTGCAGTATGTTTTTGTTGTGTTACTTTGGTAAGGATTAAAAATGTGGTTACTTTTGAATGGGAAAGTTCCAAGCATTGATTATCTGCTCTCTAAACACCCAAGAGCCTATAGATAAAGGTACTAAGGCAGTATTGCCTTTTAAGATTTACATTGTAGAATTTTCCTCCTGACTCCTGTAACTTTTCTAGGAATGGACTTGGCTCTGTGAAGGATGGAGAACCTCACTTTGTGGTGGTCCACTGCACAGGTTACATCAAGGCCTGGCCGCCAGCAGGTAGGAAAGTTGATTAGATTTCTCCCTTGGTGCACTTGATTACTCAGAGGGTCCAAAAACATTGTCAACATTTAATTAACAGAACATTTATTATGTACCTGGTATATGAAATGTACATCAATACAAGCTGAAACAAAGTTGAGCAGATAAAGCAAACTCCTTTCCACCCATTATTGAGCTCATATTACAGTTGGAGTTAGGGAGATGAATTACTCAAACTTGAAAATAACTCAGTATTGGGTGCATCACAGAGTGTAGTCATTAGTTGGCTTTTAAAACTTACCTATTTTTCTTTCTTTCCTTTTCTTCTTTCTTTTTTTTTTGTCTCCACTGGGGTTTGAACTCAGAGCCTCACACTTGCTAGGCAGGTGCTCTACCACTTGAGCCACTCTGCCAGCCCTTTTCTTTTCTTTTCTTTCTCTTCTCTTTCTTTTCTTTCTCTTCTCTTCTCTTTCTTTTCTTTTCTTTTCTATGGTATTTATTTACTTATTTATTTGCACTCAGGACCTCATTCTTGCTAGGCAGGTGCACTACAACTTGACCCACCCTGCTACCTTTTTTGGGTTGAGTATTTTTCAAGATAGTGTCTCAAAATTGCTGGGGCTGGCTTTGTACTGCAATCCTCCTGGTCTCTGACTCCTAAAAAGTTTAGGGTTACAGGTATGAGCCACAAGCACCTGGCTTAAACTTATTTTTGAGGAAGGATCTCATTATGTTGTCTAGGCTGGCCTTGAACTCCTGGACTCAAGCAATTTTCTTGCCTCAGCCTCCTGAATACTTTGGACTATAGGTGTGTGCCACTGTGGTTGAATTAGAATATAGTTTTTAGGGCTGAAGATGTAGCTCAGTGGTTGCCTATCATGTGCAAGACCCTCCTCAGCACTGCCAAATTAAAAAAAAAATGTGCAAAATGATAATATGTATACTGAATACCTATTTTCTAATCAGTGGTTGCAAAGAAACATTGGCATTTAATGAAATTAACCTGGGAAAGCTGTATAAAATAGAAGCAAGATCTTGAGGGATAAAAGGAAAATGGCTTGATTGTAACAACTTATTAAGGAGATTTTTCTCTGCAAAGGTTTGAAATCAAGTATTGAGCAGAGTAACTTTATTTGAATGAATTCGCACCCTCTCCCCCCCAATTCCTGAGTTTGAACTCAGAGCCTCATGCAGAGTAGCTTTATTTGAACTGAGGTTAAGCAACGAATGTGACAAAGATGGTTTGGGTACAGGGATCAGCTTTTTAAATTGACTTGTTGGAGTTTCCAAGTCATACCAACTTCCATATTAGATGGGTATTACTGGGAAGTAGAGATTTGGGGGAGACAGAAACTAAGAGCAAAGAGAGACAAGGTAGAATATTTTGGGAAGAGCTTAAACTTTGATTTGAAAAAAGCCTGGCATAACCTCAGGTAAGTCGATTAACCTTTTATTTATGTATTTATTTTTATGGAGCTAGGGTTTGAACTCAGGGCTTCATGTTTTGAAGTAGGTGCTCTACTGCTTGAGCCACACTTCCAGTCCTCAATTGACCTTTATATCAGTTTTCTCTTCTGTAATTTGTATATAATACATTCTTTATATAGCATTATTGTGAGGATTAGATTAAATGAAGGAAAACTATCCAGCCCAGTGCCTGGATTCTGGCAAGCACCCAATAAATGGAAGTAATAGAGAAAAATTAATTTAAAGTAGTACAAGTAATGACATTTGAACTTTTTAGTCTACATGCTGTATAAACTGTACATTTAAAGTATGTGTGATATTTTATACTTCAGTGTAGCTATCAATGAAATACCATTTTTCTGAATAAGAAGAATTACAAAGAGTTGGAGGGAAGTGCATTCTTCCTCTTCAGTATAAAGCATTAGGTTCTCTTTTTTTCCAAAGGATAAGTAACTATAGGTGTTTGGTATAGTTTCATGTTTGCTTTACTTAAGTTTTTTCTGGAGGTGGGGGGAGGTGGGTTTTGAACTCACTGTCTTGTGTTTGCTAAGCAAACACTCTACCATGTGAGCCACATCCCCAAATGTTTATGTTGATTTTCTTTCTTTTCTTTTTTTAGTACTTACTTTTAAAGTCACAGATTAAGCAAGATATCTTGCTCTCTGTGATATGGTCACAGAATGACTGTTTTCATATGTGTTTGGTTTGGCCAGCATAGGTTTTTAGACTATTTAGGGCGAGACTTGTACTCTTCACTTTATTGTAATTAAAATGAATGGTAAAATAGTATCTTTATATATATATATATGCGTATATATATATATATATATATATTCATATTAAAAAATAATGATCGGTATATATAGTAAATCTATAATTATTCTTATCATTTGTCACTTTCTATTGCTTTATACCTAAATGTAATTTAAATCTTTACTTATCCAACCTTTGAAGGCATTTAAGTTTGAGATCTCTGTAAATCCTGTAAATCCTTTTCATTTTATCTTCCTGAAGGTGTTTCCCTCCCAGATGATGACCCAGAGGCTGGCCAGGGGAGCAAGTTTTGCCTAGTGGCCATTGGCAGATTGCAGGCAAGTATGAGTTTTCTACATCTACATGCCCTTTTGATTAAAATCAGTCTCCTTCAGGACTTGTTTATGTTGATTTTCTTTCTTTTCTTTTTTTAGTATTGGGGTTTGAACTCAGGTCCTTGGGCTTGCTAGGCAAGTCTTCTTCCAATTGAGCCACACCTTCAGTCCATGCTAATTTTCTTTCTGTTTTCAAAAATTTGAAGAAATAGGCCTTTCATAGTAAACACTGCTACTCTTGTATTTAGCAAAAGTTGAAGACGATGAAAGAGGGAGGGAAATCTGCTCTTCTCTTTTTGTTTTTGATGTTGGTTGTTGGCACTTGGTCTTCCTATATTGTCTAGGCTGGTCTGTAACCCCTGGGCCCAAGTGATCCTCCTGCTTCAGCCTCCTGAGTGCTGGGACTATAGGCATGCACTTCTGTGCCTGGCTCCCCTTATCTTTCTTAATTTTAGCTTTATGATGATGAATTTTCTATTTCCAGTTAATTTTCTTTACCCCTATACCAAAGAAGAGAGATCTTTTCATTTTACCATTCCATGACCAAAAATTGAGAGGTTGAATCACTTTAATTATTCTCATAAGAGTATATAATTTTCTTAGTTATGTACATCATAGTTTTCCTATTTGAATAATGAGTATAGTCAGCCAGGTAAAAGTAGGTGTAGGTGGGTTTGGGGTTTAATTCCCTTTTTTTTTTTTTTTTAACTTTACTAACTTCAAAGTATATTTGTAGGAGTAGAGCTAGACTTCATGCCCTCTCTAACTGTTATTGCCATTTTTTCCTTTCTGGGCATGTAATAGTTCAGAAATTTCTAAAACTAGGAGTCTATGCATTTGTCTGTGTGAATTTTGTATTTGCTCATGAAGAGATAAGAAATATCTGCAAAGAATGATAATCATTTTACCTCATTTTTCTCTCTCCACTCTTAGGTAACTAGTTCTCCCAACTGTACAGACATGAGTAATGTTTGTCAACCAACAGAGTTCATTTCTCGACACAACATTGAAGGGATATTCACTTTTGTGGATCACCGTTGTGTGGCTACTGTTGGCTACCAGCCACAGGTAAAGAACTGGTGCCATTATATCATTAATACTTAGGCCTCTGTTTTCCCTTGCAAATGTTAAGGTTACACAATCTTGTAATTCCAGAGATTGCCAAAATGTACCAGCCCCAGTTCAGAAAAAGATTATCTTATTCTATTAGTAGCTAAATATATTTTCAACTTCCTACCTAGGCTACCATCCTATCTAGAAAAATTTGGTATGTGAAACCAGGCAGGAACAGCATGTTTTAATACATGTTTATTTTTTTTTCTGATATTAATGCAGATAGTAATTAAAAAGTGCTCATTTTGAAGACTTACTGTGACTTTTGAGGGGGGTTTTGGAGTTTGAACTCTGGACCTTGTACTTACTAGGCAGGTGCTCTACCTCTTGAGCCATGCTTATATATGTGTATATATTATATATATATAGTTGCAAAACTGTAGATGCTAGGAGGTACTTCTGACGGTGATTGTGTGAAATGGTTGGTGAAGGAGAGGTCTTAAAAATGAACAAAGTAGGAGGGCTTACAGCCCTTGATTCAACACATAGTATAAAGCTGTAGTTATTAAGTCAGTATAGTGTTGGTGTAAGGATAGGTATATAGATCAATAAACCAGAATAGAATCTACTTTTATATTTGTGGTCAACCAATTTTTAGCAAAGGTGCCAAGATAATTCATTGGGGAAGAGAGGTCTTTCTAACAAAGAGCTGAGGACATGACTTAAGTGGTAGAACACTTGCCTACCAAGCAAAAGGCTCTAAATTCAAATTCAGTATTGCAGTATTGGCAAAAAAAAAAAAAAAACAAAGGGTGAGGAACAATTGGATATCCGTATGTGCACCCCCACAAACACAAAAAAAAATGAACTTAAACTTTACCTCAAAGTAATGGAAAAATCAGCCAGGTGCTGGTGGCTCACGCCTGTAACCCAGGCTACTCAGGAGGCAGAGATCAGGGGGATCATGGTTTGAAGCCAGTTCGGACAAATAGTTTGTGAGATCCTATCTCAAAAATACCTATCACAAAAAAGGGCTGGTGGAGTGGCTCAAGGTGTAGGCCCTGAGTTCAAGCCCCAATACCGCAAAAAAAAAAAAAAAAAAGAAATTCCCTCATAATAGGATATCATTAAGAAAGAAAGCATAGACAAAGTAAAGTATACTCACAGCAGGGATACACTGAGAAACCTTTTTGAACATCAACTTGAATATTAATAACAAAAGATAGGACTGTAAAATAGGTACAGTGTGTGGGGGGGGTACTTGTGGAAGGGGAAGGGTGAATGAAGGAGATTAAGATGAGGGAATATAGTTGATGGATTTCATATACTTATAGAAACTAGAACAAAGAAATCTCTTGCAACTGCTTTGGTAGTGTGAGGAGGGAGTTGAGGGAGAGAGAGATGGTAGGTAGGGGTGATGTAACCAATGTACAATATAAGCTTATTTGGAATTGTCACTATGAAACCCCCTGTATAATATATCCTAATTTTAAAAAATAAAAAAAGAAGAATAGTTAAATAAAAATCAAAGCCCTGAAATTTCAAAATGAGAAAATAAAAAAAGAAAAATCAGAAAGACTGAACACAAAGTAGGAGAAAATATTTGTAAATCATGTATCTGAAAAATGATTTGTATCTACAATATATAAATTCATTAAGAAAAGCAGCTCGTAGAAAAGGGTACACCAGCTGGGCGTGGTGGTCCATTCCTGTAATCTTAGCATTCCTGTAATCTTATCTGGTGGAGATAGGAGGATCACAAATTTAAGGTTGGCTTGGGCTATAGGGCAAGACTTTGTCTCAAAAAAAATGGGCAAGATTTGATATTTCACCAAAGAGAAATGAATTGCAGTATTAGGAAAATGAAAATGAAAATCAAAACAAGATACTATTGTATATTCACTAGAATGGTCAAAAAGATACAAATGTAGAGATCCCTCAGATGTTGTTAGTAGACATGAAAAATGTTATAGCTACTTTTCAAAACCATTTTGTCAGTTTTCTAAAATGCTAAACATACTTATTCTGCAATCTGTCAATTCTCCTCCTGAATATCTACCCAAGGGAAATGAAAACATATATTCACAAAGATTTGTACACAAATGTCCACAGCTCAATAATTCATAATAGACAAAAAATGGAAATAATCTAAATGTCCGTTAGCATTTTATGAATGAATATACAAACTGCATGAGTTTTTGCTAGACTCTGTTGAGCAATGAAAAAGAATAAATTACTGTTACATGGAACAACATAGAACTTAAAAATAGTATGTTAAATAAAAGAACCCAAACTTAAAAGAGTATATATTGCATGACTCTATATTGTATGGAATTTCTAGGAAAAGCAAAATTAAAAAGGCAGAAAACAGGTCAGTAGCTGGATAAGAGGTAGGAACAAGGGTTGATTGTGCAATGAACACTTTATAAAACTGAATTATGATAATTGCACTATTGTAAGTTTACTAGGAATCATCAAACTGTACCCTTAGAATGAGTGAATTATGAATGTAAATTATACCTAAAATCTGTAGTTAATGCCATTAGGTAAATATAGTCTGAAAAAGAAATGTGCTAGAAGCCAGATTCAATCATTGTCTTCTTTTTTTTGTTGGGACTGGGATTTGAACTCAGGACTTTGCACTTGCAAAGCAGGCCCTCTACTGCTTGAGCCACACCTCCAGTTCATTTTGCTCTGTTTATTTTGGAGATGAGGTCTTACGAACTATTTGCCTGAACTCTCAAGCAGTGATCTAATTTCAGCCTCCCAAGTAGCTAGAATTATAGGTATGAGCCACTGGCTCTCAGCTTCATTATCTTTTGTTTCTGTCTTCTTTTTTTTCCTTTACATGTATTTATAATCAAGACAGAATAAATAAAATCCAAGTCCACAGCAAGATAAACCAGGAAGATTAAATGACTCTTCTTTCTCCCCTCTAGGAACTCTTAGGAAAGAATATTGTAGAATTCTGTCATCCTGAAGACCAGCAGCTTCTAAGAGACAGCTTCCAACAGGTAATTTTTTTTTTGTGTCTGAATACATATTTTTTTACCTATTTCTCACATCCACTCCATAAATACTTACTGAACACTGATTGAGCACTGTGGCAGGCACTACAGTTTTATTTATTTATCTATTTTAAATAGCTACTTAATCTGTATTTTTATTTTTATTTTTGTTTTTTTTCTTAACCTGAATTTTTAAGGAATAGAAAAAGATAATACTTTGAAACTATTGAATAATGTCCAAGGTATATTTGCTTGGCTTTGGCTATTTACTGTCTTGTGTTCAACTATCTGTATCCAAGGGATTATCTTCAAAGTATGTTAAGATATTATTCTTCAAAGTATGTAAAAATATTATAGGCAGTCTACATATAATTGATTTGTAGATTGTAGCAGAAAAATGTTTATTTTAACTTCTTTTATGACAATTGAAAGTTTATTAAGGCCCTAACTCCTAAAAATACCTAATGAATTTAATAGACTTAGCTTTAGCTAACAGCTCATACTTTATATTATACACATTAATCTTTTTTAAATATCAGTAGTGTTGTTACAGATATAGTGGGTATAATAATAGTACTTAAATGCAGAGGGCTGTAGGGAAGATTATATAAGGTAATGCAAATAAGGCACACAGCCCCTTGCTTGACACATAATAATTATAAAATAAATGTTAGTTGCTAATACTGTTTTTCATTGTTACTGAGGGAGACTCAAAAATATTTTCTGTTCCATGAGACTAGAAATTAAAATAATCTAAAATTACTTTTAAAAAAGCAAAAAATAAGACTAAAGCCAGCTTAGTTTTATTTACTGTGAAGATAGAAATCTCACATTTGTAGGGGAAAGCTAGAATTGAAGAGCGATGTAAAAACTATATTTCAACCAGGTGCTGGTGACTCATGCCTGTAATCCTAGCTACTCAGGAGGCAGAGATCAGGAAGATCGAGGTTTGAATACACCCCAGGCAGATAGTTCTGCAAGACCCTATCTCAAAAAACCCTGGTGGGCTGGTGGAGTGGCTAAAGGTGAAGGCCCTGAGTTCAAGCCCCCAGTACCACCAAAAAAAAAAAAACCCTATATTCAGTGTCATTAAACTTAAATTTCTGGCATAGATTTATTATGTTTGCTCAACATATCTTTAATGGACTTTTCAAGGAAAGTGAGAAAGAGTCTTTTTTTCTCCTAGAAATAATTGTTACTCCAATTTTACTTTCACTGGCATGGTCATCAGATAGCTTAGGACTCTAGGAAGAAACATGACAAACTTCTTCTTTATTTAATCACTTAGTTTTCTCTCTTTGTTGTTTTAACATTGAAGAAGACTGGTGTGTCAAGGACAACAACACAAGAGTCTTAGGGTTGTAGAAATGGGAATTAAAAAAAATATTTAAAGACCTATTGATGATATGAAAACCTTTTCAGGTTGTGAAATTAAAAGGCCAGGTGCTGTCTGTCATGTTCCGGTTTCGGTCTAAGAACCGAGAATGGCTGTGGATGAGAACCAGCTCCTTTACTTTCCAGAATCCTTACTCAGATGAAATTGAGTATATCATCTGTACCAACACCAATGTGAAGTATGTACCCTCCAGACCTTTTCCAATGTGGGGATTTCTCTCTCTCTTATTTTTTTTCTTTTTGTTTTTGTTTTGAGATAAGATCTCTCTATATATAGCCCAGGCTGACCTGATCCTTCTCCCTCAGTATCTCAAGTATTATGGTTATATATATAATCACATCTGGTATCACCATGCCCAGCTTCAGTTTTGGGATTCTCATGGGCTAAGTCTGCTTAGCTTTATCAAGCTATCTCCTTCTCTTCTTCTTTTCAAGTTGTAAATACCATTAATCTGAAGTTCCTCATTTTATAGCTTCCTATAGGATTTGATACAGTTAATCAAGGTAGAAGAAATTTTAATAAGCAGTAGTTCATAAACTAGGTCTTGGGAGTGAAGGGTTTATATTTCAATTTTCGAGGAAGGATTTTGTTGTATATGTCAGTATATTGTTCTAGTCTAGCAGAATTTTGAAATAGCGTAGAGTTGGGCAAACTCCATAAAGGATCAGATAGTAAACTTTTGTGGACCATATGATCTTTATTGAAACTACTAAACTGTGCTGTTGTAGCATGAAAATAATCATAGAAAGAACATGGCTGTGTTTCAGTAAACATTTATATACAAAAACAAGCAATGGTCTGGATTTAGTCCATGGACCATGATTTGCTTTGGAGCATAGCTACATTCACTCTTTAATTAGTTTCTGTTCTTCTCTTTGTGTTTTCTTTCTCAGCCTTTTTTTTTTTTTTTTTTTTTTTTTGATGGTATGGTAGTTTGAACTCAGGGCTTTGCACTTGCTAGTCAGACACTCTACCAAAATTGATCCATGCCCTTAGCCCTTTTCCTCAACTTTTTAAAAACAGTTTTGAGATAACATTTCACATACCATTTAAAATGTACAGTGTTTTTTGAATATCACACAGTTGTGCACCTATTACATAACTATCTAATTTCAGAACATTTTTCATCTCCACTCAAAGAAACCTGTACTCCCCCTTTGCTCTGAAATTCTATGCAACCGCTAATTTATTGTCTATATAAATTTTCCTAATCTAGACATTTCATATAAAGGGAATCACAGAATATGTTTTCTTTGTGATTGGCCTCTTTCACTGAGTATGTTTTAAGGGTCATTTATGTTGTAACATGGATCAGTACTTTTTTTTTTTTTTGGTAGTTACTAGTCTGTTGAATGGATATACTATATTTTGTCTGTTCATTGGTGAACAATTGGGTTGTTTCTAGTTTTTGCCTATTAAAAATGCTGGTTTGAATATTCCTGTACTTCTTTTTGTGTGGATATATGTTTTTAGTCCCCTTTTGTATATAATTTCTGGGAGTGGAATTTCTAGGTTACATGGTAATTCCTTTAACCTTTGAAGAACTGCAAAACTGTTAGCCAAAGCTGCACTATTGGTTACATTTCCACTTGACAATATATGAACATTCTTGTTTCTTCATATCCTTGTCAATACTTGCTGTTGTCCTTTTTACTATAACCAATCTTGTGGTATCAGTTGAAGGTTAATTCTTGCTGTTTAAACTACTTCTGTAGAATTGGCTTTGAACCCAGCTCTTGATGATTAGATTATGAATAATCAATATACATTGTATTTGGTGACATCAGTCAGTATTTTCCAATTCAATCTTAAGAGCTTCTAAAGTTTAATTACTTGCTAATTGATTTTCTGAAACAGTATATTAAGTTAGAATTTTTATTAATTTAGGACTCAAGTGTTTGGTTTTAATTGTCACAGTTTTTTTCTTGCATTTTTATATTATACAACCATTATTTTGTGTTTCCATTTCATTTAAATATTAAGAGTTTTTTGTTTGTTTTTATTTTTTGGTGGAGATGCACATACTAAGAAAACACTACCTTTGAGCTACACCTGCCAGTCCCAGAATTTGAAATTGTTAAGTCCATTTAAAGACTTAAAGTTCTGGAAATAATTTGCCTTTCTCCCCTTTACATGTAGTTGTCCCAGCACAGTTGATTTTAGTTATTAGTGTTTTCTCTTCCTTTTGTTTGTTTTGTTTTGTTGAGACAGGGTCTCATAAAGTAGCCCAGGCTAATCTGGAACTTATGACTAAGTCTTCCTGCCTCAGCTGCCCAAGTGTTGGGATTACAGGAATGAAACTCCACACCCAGCAGTATTTTATTTTTTGATAAATATTATTTGTGGAAAATTAGGAGAGCATTGAAATACATAGAAAGAAAGAAAAAATTTCTCACACTTCAGATAATATTTGGTAATATTTCAGTATATGTACTTCCAATTTTTTTACCCATGTTTTTTTAAAAACACAGTATATGAGTATAAACATACCCACAACAACTAGATATTGCATACCTAAAGAAGTTAGAAACCAAACAGCATGAATTCTTGTGCCTTAGGCCATACATAGTTTCTATTTGTAGTGTAAATTTTTTGCTAAAAGTGAAGTCATGTTACCTATGAGATTGAACTTTAAAGGAAATCTATTAGTGATTACACCATCTACAGATCAATCTGTGGAATTTTTTGTATAGAGTCATTCCTTTTTTGTTGTTGCTTTCTTGATTTGATTTTAGTATTTTTTTTATTGTTGTGCTTGGGGGGGGGTACATTATGACATTTACAGAAGTTCCTATATTAAATATATCATACTTGAATTCACCCCCTCCATTTCTGTCTTTTATTTCCTTCTCTCCCTCCTTTTTTTTTCTTTCTCTGTTCTTGTATACTTCATTTTCATAGGAATTCTAGCCAGGAACCACGGCCTACACTGTCCAGCACAATCCAAAGACCACAGCTAGGTCCCACAGCTAATTTACCCCTAGAGATGGGCTCAGGACAATTGGCACCCAGGTAAGAAGTGGTGAATCTGTTGGACAATCTCTATTGCCATCTGTATTCCAATTTTTTTGTTAGGTGGTTTATTTTTTTCTTAAGGTCTTTTCCCCCAGATTCTTTGTTAACTCTACCTCCTATTTCTCTCCTCACTGATCTTTAACATATAGGCAGCAACAACAGCAACCAGAATTGGACTTAGTACCAGGAAGAGATGGACTGGCCAGCTATAATCATTCCCAGGTGAGTGTGTATCTTCTTTCTTGAAGAGAACAGTAAGCATTCCTAAAAAAAAAAAATCCCCCAAGTTGGGTGTGATGGCTCACATCTATAATCCCTACTTTCAAGCAGAGATCAGGAGGATAGCAATTCTAGGATAGAGTGGGCAAAAAGTTAGACCCCCATCTCAGTCAGTAAGCCAAGTATTAAAAAAAAAAAAAAAGTAAGCCAGTATAGTGGCACAGGCCTGTAATGCCAGCTATGCAGAAACCGTAGGTAGAAAGATTTTACCTGAGACTAGCCCCAGAGACCCTATCTTTGAAAATAACTATAGCAAAAAAGGAGTGGGCATGTAGAGCACCTGACTATCAGACACAAGACCCTGAATTCAAACTTCAGTTTAAAAAAACTCCACAAAAAAAAAAGTCTCCTAGTGCCAGAGTGCCTGTGTATTTTTATGAACATCAGAGTTACTGAATTGTTATGTTAAACTTTTAGTGATATTTTCATCATTTTATTCCTTAGGTTTCTGTTCAGTCTGTGACAACTACAGGGCCAGAACATAGCAAGCCCCTTGAGAAATCAGATGGCCTATTTACCCAGGATAGAGATCCAAGATTTTCAGAAATCTATTCCAACATCAACGCAGGTAGGTTTCTTCCTTAATCCCTTTTTAAATTCTCATTGAGATCACCTACTGATGGGCCTGCTACTGCCTAATCAGTAATCTTCCAACATATTTCCACCTAATTATAATACTTCATGAGTAAGTAGGAACTTACTAAACTATATACTACAGCCCCTTGACTGGCCCTCCCCCGACTCCTTTTGGTCCACAGATCAGAGTAAAGGCATCTCCTCCAGCACTGTCCCTGCCACCCAACAGATATTCTCCCAGGGCAACTCATTCCCTCCTACCCCCCGGCCGGCAGAGAATTTCAGGTGAGCCCCATATGTGTGTGCTGCTTAATAGGGCCCTGAGGGATTCAGTTGCTGAATCCAAGTTTTATTCTTCCCTTGCTTTCTCTGGTTATTTCAGACAAAGCAGTAGGGCTTATAGGGCCTAGGGTAAGGCAAAGAAGCTGCTTTTCTTCTTCCTGTTTCTTTGCACCTGTCCTTTTGCCATGTTTTAGGTTCCATCTTTGTGTGTTCTAGTCAGTTTGTGGCTGTCATTCTTCCTTGTTTTTTTCAAATTCTGTTACCCAGTTTTCCTTAACTCTAAGGAAGTTAAGGGATCTAGGAATAGCACCAGATTGTCCTTTGACTCACAGCTTTTTATCCTCTTATTTGTTCACTCCTAGGAATAGTGGTCTGGCCCCTCCTGTAACCATTGTCCAGCCATCATCATCTGCAGGGCAAATATTGGCCCAGATTTCCCGCCATTCCAACCCTACCCAGGGAACAGCCCCAACTTGGACCCCTAGCACACGTCCAGGCTTCTCTGCCCAGGTAAAGCTTCTTATCTGTCTGAACTTTTGTATTTTGTTTGTTTGTTTGGACTTTTTTTTTCCCCATCTGTGAAATTATAATTATTTTAGACATCTCATTTACTCCAATCCTCCACCTTCTAATTTTCACCTTTGTTGAGAGCAGCTAATTAAAATACCACAGATAATCCCAAAATCTCATTTAGAGTCCATGGTTTTCACGTAGTCATCTTAAATCATAATTGCTCATGCACAACAATCTAAGTAGGTTTGATTTTCAGATTTGTTTTGGAGTAAATTCCAAGAAATTTCCTCTTTGTTGAGGACTACATTAATATAGGAACAATTCAAAAATTAGTAGCTGTATAATGATATCTGTTTATAAAAAAAATTGAGAAATTTTTATGTAATATCCATATCCATGTATAGAATACAAAATAAATATGTTTGGCTTATCTGTTACTATATGTTGTATAACTATTTTAAAGTAAAAAAAAAAAGTCAAAACCAAAAACTGACTCCAAAATTGTTATATGCAGTATGATCTCAATTGTGTTAAAAATGCACAGGAAGGCCATCCATTTATTCATCAGACAGGAAGGCCATTGTTGTTGAGGACAGTCAACAATGATTTTTAGTGCTTTAACAAAACCAATAATGCCATGCATCTGTAATTTCATATTATGGAGCATTTGTTGTCTCCCTGGGGATTGCAGCTCTCTTAAGTTTGCTGTGACAGAACCAAGAAAGATAATATTCACAGATTTCCATGGAAATTATGAAAACATGAAATTTTTGAGATGAACAAAGTTGATGTCAGAAATGCAAAATATTTGTGGAATAAAGAATTTCTAGCTGAGCACTGGTGGCTTATGCCTGTAATCCTAGCTACTCAGAAGGTAGAGATCAGGAGGATCGTGATTTGAAGCCAGTCCAGGCAAATAGTTCAAGAAACTCTATCTCAAAAATACCTAACACAAAAAGGGCTGGTGGAGTGACTTAAGGTGTAGGCCCTGAGTTCAAGCCCCAGTACTGAAGGAAAAAAAATAAAATAAAATTTCTAGACTGGAGGCATGGATCAAGTGGTAGGGTAGCTCTGAGTTTAAACCCTGGTACAACAACAACAAAAAAAGTTTTTCTTTTCTTTGGATTGAATTTTACAGAAGTTTATCACTTAATCTGTAACCCAGAACTATGAAACATGAGTATTTGGATTAAGGAATAGTTTCTCTTGATAAATAAACTTGTAACAAATATTTTAAAAGCATGTAAGCCAGGGCTGGCTTATATCTTAGCTACTCAGGAGGCGGAGATTAGGAAGATCGCGATTTGAAGCCAGCCAGGCAAATAGTTTACAAGACCCTATCTCAAATACACTCAACACAGAAAAAGTCTGGTGGAGTGGCTCAAGTGGTAGAGCGCCTGCCTAGTAAGCGTGATGTTTAAGTTCGAACACCAGTACTGCAAAAAAAAAAGAAAAGTTAGGGGTGGTGGCAGACATCTTTAATTCCAGCACTCTAGAAGCTGAAGCATGAGGATCACAAATTGGAGGCCAGCCTGAGTTACATAGCAATACCCTGTTTCAAAAATGAAAAAAAAAAGCTGATGATGTGGTACTGGTATCACAAAAAAAAAAAAAGAAAGAAAAGAGAAAAAAATAAATTATTCAAAAACATTAACCGTGCAACTGTGCATCTCTGATGATAGATTCTTATTTTATTTTTCTTTTCCTCTTTCCAAATATTGTGCAGTGCATGTGTATTGATTATTCTGATGAGGAAAAAATGTTTATGTTGTTTGTTTTTTAAAAGACACTAGGAACAAATGAATTCAGAACAGACTAAACAATAAAAGAATGCAGTGTTTTTTCTCTATGTGTAATACTCTTCTGTTATAATGTATAGTTTTATATAACTACAGTTTATAAAATGTTTTCATTTAATTCTCATAACTTTTTTTGGCAGTATTAGGGGATGAATTCAGGGCCTCACACTTGCTAAGAAGGCTTTATACTAGACCTTTTTGCATTGGTTATTTTTGAGAGCGGGTCTTTATGCCCAGGCTGCCTGGACTGTGATTCTCCTTTTGTTTTGTTTTGTTTTTTGCTTCAATCCATAGCTAGGATCACAGGCATCCCCATTATGCCCAGCTATTGGTAGAGGATGGGGTCTTGCAAACTTTATACAGGCTGGCCTTGAACCTTTATCCCCCTAATCTCAGCCTCCTAAGATTACAGACTTGAGACTGTCCTCAACTTTTAACAACTTTTTTTTTTTTTGGTGGGACTAGGGCGTGAACTCAGAGCTTCACACTTGGAAAAGTGCTCTGCTGCTTGAGCCATACCTCTAGTTCATTTTGCTCTGGCTATTTCTGGCTCCCAAGTTGCTAGGATTATAGGCATGAGCTACTAGCACGCAGCTTCTCACAACTTTTATTAAACCCATAGTCCTCTGGTTTTGCATTTTTATCTTGCCTACCTAGAAAATAGTGTCACAAGAAATTGGGAGTTAATCAAAAGTATACAGTTGGAAATAAGTGATGAGCTTGGTTCAAAAGAATACAGTGATTGACAGAGTATTGGACTCTCACAGAAATGGTTTGCACAGTAATGTTAATGTTCTGTTTGTTGTTTTATCCCCATTTCTCTTCAGCACGTGGCTACCCAGGCTACAGCCAAGACTCGTTCTTCTCAATTTGGGGTGGGCAACTTTCAGACTCCTTCCTCGTTCAATCCCATGTCTCTCCCGGGTGCTCCCTCTGCGTCATCTGGTGCTGCATATCCTACTCTCACTAGTCGTGGTTCCAACTTTGGTAAGTTTAGATCAGAAGCAGCATAATAGGAAAAATCATACTTCTAAAGGGAAAGGCTATGGTAGTTAAAATTGTTTACCTGTGTCCTGGGTGCACTCACCTTATTATAGGGAAATGCAAGGCAACAGTCTGTTTAGAATTAAAAACTTTTCTACAAGAAAAATACTTTGGCACATACAATAAAAGAGATATAAAGTATGACGATTTTTACAACAGTTTTACTACAAAATTTTATGTGGTTAATCTGAGTGAGCAAAGAGCTCTTTAGAAAAGCTAGAGAAGAAAAGTTAATTTGAGACTAGGTTTTGAATTAGAAGACACATTGATTAACAGGGAGAAGGAAAAAAGGTATCCTGTGTAAAGTTTCTCCTCTCCACCGGTATTAGTAAATTGAAGGTGTTTATTCTTACTATATTTCTAGCTCCTGAGACTGGACAGACTGCAGGACAATTCCAGACACGGACAGCAGAGGGTGTGGGTGTTTGGCCACAGTGGCAAGGCCAGCAGTCTCATCATCGCTCAAGTTCTAGTGAGCAGCATGTTCAACAGTCGTCAGCACAGCAACCTAGCCAGCCTGAGGTCTTCCAGGTGAGAGGGTAAAGACTTCAGAAAGTAGGAGAAACTTAGAAGGAAACATACCTGAATTGAGGTGTTGTTTGGGAGTGTATGGGAGAAGACAGAGAAGGATACATGTAAGGGTAACTGTAGAAGATCATAAATTTAGTGTGATGCATACTCTTTAACCAGGCTGTATTAGTGATGTGAAGCACTAGGCAAAGATGCAAAGAAAATTATTTAAGTTCATTCATGAAGATCCATATCCTTATTTCAAAATACCTTTGGATTTAAAATAGGACAATTTTTTAAAGTATATGAACTAGAACATACTGATTATAGCTATAAAGATATATTTATGCAAGTCCTGAGGGAACTTTAAGATTTAATGGAGTAGTCTTAGGTCAAAGGAAGAGCTAATGTAAAGCACAGATTGAAAGAAGGCAAAATAAATTTTGGCAGAAAAAAATAGGATAAGATATATTACATATATTCTAAGGGGATTAAATGGAATATGGCAAGCAGATTTTTCTCCCTTTGAAAATATGGAGGACTGGAAAAAGGGAAAATCTGGAACTATAGGAGGAGGACATGGAAGAGGCTAGAAAAAAGGCTGTGATATAAAGGAGTCAGAATGTTGCGGGGAATAAGGAAGGCTGAGAAAGCGCACCATTGCAGAGACTTTTTGGGTTCAGGATGGTAGAGATGTTAGGAGGAAACTCAGTATATATAAGGGTGTGACCCAAATTTAATCATTTTCTCTTACTAGGAGATGCTGTCGATGCTGGGAGATCAGAGCAACAGCTACAACAGTGAAGAATTTCCTGACCTAACTATGTTTCCCTCCTTTTCAGAATAGAACTGCTGGGGTGAGGATGAGGGGTAGGGGAGAAAAATCACTGTTTGTTTTGTAAAAACAAATCTTTTGTAAACAGAATAAAAGTTCCTCTCCCTTCCCTTCCCTCACCCCTGACATGTATCCCCTATCCCTTCTGGACCTACCTTACTTTTCCTTGAGTCTCTGAGGTAACATTTATAGAAGAAATTAAATGAATCCTCCAGGCTTTTAGGAGCCTTTGAAAATTTGAGGCTAGGCCTTTCCTATTATCTCCTGACCAGAAGTTGCACAACAATGATTTGTGCTAGGGTCAAGGGGCAGGACAGAAAAAACCTGACATCCACTATTTGCCTTGGATACTGTGGCTTGTTTTAAAAAAAAATTCTGAATAGAGTGATGCAGAGGAGAAATGTCCTCATATTTGAGGAACATGAAACATGATAGGTATATATGGAGCTTTAGGAAGTGATCATAGACTCTTTTGCTACCTGTAAGCAATTTCTCTGGAAAGAAACATGTAAGAGAAGGTGAGTATGTGTGTGTATTTGTGCGTGTGTGTGTGTATGTGTGTGTGTTGTGTGTGTGTGTCTACGTGTTCCTGTATTTCTCCCTATTAGGGAATTTATGCAAAATTTGTCCAATATTTTTATCTTTGTCTTTCTGTGTGCTCATCAAAGAGTTAGAAGTTAAATCTTCTAGGTATTTTCCATTTAGTATTGCAGCCAAAGAGTATTTAAATAGGTCTTTGCTGCACTTACATTTATGCCCAGCCAACGTGCAACTATAGGCAAATATATAGTCTTTTGTTGATAGGGTTGGTCTCTTACCGAACATACTCAGTGTTCAAGATGAATTTCTCCTGCTTTTGGTGCTCTTGCCTTATCTGGAAGATCTGCAAACATTACCCAAATAGGCTGGCTAAACACTTTCACAAGTCCCAGACTTGGCCATAAGAATAATGCTGCATTTTTCTGTCAGAATTACACATGATGTGTGTTCTGGAGAGGTTATTTCTGCATGGAAACTCAACTTCTTGGATTAGCAGTCTCAGTGAAAATACTCACTGTTGAGGTATAAGCCAAATACAAAACCCTCTTGCAAAGTAGCCTCCTTAATCCCATCCTTAAAATATCCCATCTAGAAAGAAACACATTTAGGTCTTCTCTGGGCCTGTAGTTCTTTCCTCCCTCTCCAGTCCTGAGATTGGGTTTTATTTGGAGCACAAATACAATTCCATGTGTTAGGTAGGACCTGGATTCCTATCCCAACAGGGCCTTTTGCTAATTATAGCCATATAAATATGGATTCAGGTCCCTACTCTCACCCTTTACCTTCCTCAGGTAGGTCTTGTACATCAGCCTTTAAAAAAAAAAAAGTTCCAGTATCTAAATGAAAAACTGAATTAATAAGGAAAAGACATATAAAGTATATTCATAGGAGACTGAGGAGCACAGATGGCCTTGGAGAGGGTGAGGGAATGTTATTTACTGGGTTTCCCTCCCTTTTGTCTCCAACCTGGTGCCAGGTAGTGGAGTGGAAAAGGAGACAGTTTATTTTTTTATTCTATGTGCACACATACAGTATACATATACATACATATATATAAATATATATATTTATATCACAATTTACGAAACCAAAAGTTGAGTTTCCAGTGAAATCCTTGTTTTTTAATAATCTACTTGTTTTTAAATGTGATTGGGACTATAATATTGTACAGTTATTATAGGGCTTTTGGGGAAGGGGAGGGTAAGGGAGAAGATGCTCTGGGGGTTTATTTCTGTTTTTCCTTCAGGGTTTTATTTTTGATTGTTTTGTCTTGTTGGCCATTTCTGTATTACTGGCATTTATGCTAAGACATACAGTGGCAAAAATAATGACATGTAGCAAAGATTTTAAAAACAATATTTTTCTTTTGTAAAAGTTCTTGTGTTGTGTGATCTTGATTGCGGCTTTTTATTCCTCTCCAGCATACATCTATAGACATGCTCAACTAAAAGAATCTATAGTTTGTAGAGCACCTGCCTTGCAAGTACAAGGCCCTGAGTTCAAACCCATGTACTGCCAAAAAATCTGTAGCCTATAAGCTCATGCTTGAAATGTAGCTCACTTTTCCAGCATGCACAAGGCCCTGACTTCAATCTCCAGCACTGCAAGAAAACAAAACGTCAGCAAAAAAGAATCCATCACTTGAGTTCCAAAAATACAAGTATAAAACACAGTGTTAGTCTTTCATTTTAGGAATCAGAAGTCATAGGGCTCTGATCACTCAGCACCCTCCTCCTCACTTGCCCTCCTGATCCTGACACATTCTGAGTAAAATCACCAGAGGCATTCTGACTACACTGGGCAGGGGTGGGGGTTGCTCAAGCCACTGGGAAAGAAGAGAGGAAAGTTGGGACTTGAAACCCCTGAAGTACATTTGGATGCCTTTCTGCAGTATGTTCTCTAGATTAAAAGGATTAGAGATTAAGAAATTTAAACCTTTCCAATATGGAGCTGGTTTCTCACTAGACCTTTGTGGTTCACTAGCAGAACTTAAAACCCAAAGGCATAAGCCTGTATGGAATCCAGCTAGGAACTAATTCTAGAGCCCATGTTTGATCCTTTCTATTCCAAGGTCCCTCCTTTCCTCTTTCTCCACATCTGTTTATGGAAGAAAATGGAGTTGGGGGTGGTGGTGACTTTGTGACTAAACTAAGAATCTTATGATCTGTCACATGCCTGGATTTTGAGGAAGCATTTAGAGAAGCTCATGTGATGACCTAGATTGGGGACTTTAATAATTGAGACATGCTCATTAGACATCAATAGAGTCACATGTAAGTCCATCAGTTCTTTATTCAAGTTCTGTTGTAAATAACCAGGAGTACTGTTTGGGGCTACTTTTAGAATCAGTTTCATCTAGACTTTGGGCAGATTCCCCCTCTGCAAAACCGCATTGGGCTAGGAAAGCTCTTCCCCTGCCTGGAAGTGATGACAACATTTAGCCAACAACCATAAAACAAGAGGAGGGAAAAAAAAAAAAAAAAACTGTGTCTTCCCTTACATTACACTTTTCTAGGCTTTTGTGTTTGAATTCCATCAACAGGTGAAGGTCAGTCACAAATTTAAAAAACAGGCTTCAATGTTAGGGAGGTAGTTCATAACAGGAAAAGATGTGTAATTCCCTAATATAAAGAATTTTTAAAAAGAGGGATGAGAATAACTAGAGCTATGTCCTTCCATTTTCTCATGAAAAGAGAAGGTAAACTCCAACTCTAATGCGTACTAAGGTTTTTTGTCTTCCTCCAAAGACAGTCACATGAAAGTAAATTATCTAGAAACTCTCCACCCTGGCGCACAACACTGCACACACAGACATTGTGCAAATCTGCTTCCTTCCACCCTAACCCCCACCCTTTCCTAACATTTCTATCCCCGCCTCCATCCCTTATCCAAATTTTCCAGCCAGCTACTGGAGCTGACTTCCGCAATCCTGATGGAATAAATCCAGCACCCCTAGTTTTACACACACACAGCCACACTTCAGTCCAAAAGGAGTCCAGACACCAGGATTTCCAACACCAGGTAATGTTTTCAACTTCTAGATCACTTAGCTTCTCATTCTTGCCAGTTATCTTTATTTTAAGGCAATTAGGGCTATAGTGAGTGGGGATTAAAATATACTTTATAGGTTCTGCAGACAAAAGAGATACCCTTTTTAGTTCATTTCCTGGCCAAATCTGCCTGGAAATCTTCAGGATCCTTTGTATAATTGTGTACGTGCATGCGTGCTTGTTAGAAAAAGCAAAGTTACAGTGAATCCTTTACCCGTCCCCCAAAAGTGGCCTCTATATAAAATTCAGCTTTGGCCAAAAGGGTTAACTGTCTACTGAGGAGGACTGATAGGCGGCAGCTCAGTATTTGTGCTCTGAGATGCTACCAGGCCCCTATAGCTCAATCTATTAACTTCTGCTGGGCATTTTGCTGGTTTGCAAAGATTAGATAAAAATTTATTTGACTGTAGAAGTATTGTGCAAGTCATATGACTTGCTAGAGACTGCATATTGCTCAAACTGAAAGATTTACAATTAAGCAAATTAGTGCAAGAAATTAGTGAAGCTAGAGCAAACTTCTGAAAAGCTGTGAATTCAGTCATCATAGAATGTTGCCTTTCTCTCCTACGTTATTCTAACCTTGCTTCTGAGGCTTTTGCCCTGTGAAGCAGCCACAGAGATTATGTATTGTTGGAAAAAGGAAAGAAACCACCTACCCACAGCATCTGGTTAAGATTAGGGTAGTTTCCTGCCTAAAAAGGGAGGGGGGATGAAAAAGAAGAAAACATACATAAGGAGAGTGAGGATATAATAAACATTTCATAGTTAAACAAGGGAAATACTGTCAACGTTAGCCTGTCCTCTCTGGGCAAGACCTGGAAAAGGCAAGGAAGAAAAGAATGCCTTGACAAAACGATCAGGAAGCAAAATGTAGCTGGAACTCTTAGTGTATTCTCCAACCTCGTGCTTATTTTGTCCTCCAACCTTGATGGGGATACTGGAGAAGATAGGTGCTGAGCCCATCCCACTTATCCACTTTCTACCCCATTTCTGCTTGTCTGCACGTGAGAGTGTTGATTGAATCTATGTCAGAATAGTTGGAATCAGATGTACTTGGATGGATTCAAATCCAGCCTCTTCCTATCCTGTACTGTCATATGAAAATCACCTTCAATTGTCACCTTCCTCATAGAGCCAATTTTTCCTCTGCCTCACAGTTCAGAAGAAAAGGTTCTTAACTTTGAGTTCATGAATCCTCTAGGATTATTGCATGTGTATGCTTTTTTCTCATAAAAGAGACTATATCTTTATTAGCTCCTCAAAGGAATCTCCTAAAAGGTGAAGAGCCTCCTGTCTGAGAATATGGCTCCAGCTACTTCCTCATCCCAAACTAGAAGGTGAAACCCCTGTTAAATGGAAGAATCTCCCACAATTATTCCCTTCCTCAGGATGTGGGTGATCAAGGTTCTGCTGCTACCGATGGTGAGCTTTGCTCTGTACCCCGAGGAAATACTGGATACCCAGTGGGAGCTATGGAAGAAGACCTACAGAAAGCAGTATAACGGCAAGGTGCCTGGGGACTTGATGGGAGCATAACAGGAGGACTGGAACCCATAATCTCCACTCTTAGTTTCTAGAATCCCTTCTTCAATTCAAATACAGTACTTTATTCCAACCAAGCACCTGTCCATGTTCTGTAACTCTTACGTACGGTTTTCATTTCTGTGCAACTCACCATTCATCAAGACCTGTCCTTCCTTTGTTTTACAACTGCATTGACTGGAGATGTAGCTTAAGGGCAGAGTGCTTGCCTAGCATGCACAAGGCCCTTGGCTCCATCCCCACCGCCACAAAAAAGTGGTGTAGCTGTCTTATATCTGTTACATTACTCCTTTGGGAAGACTTCTCAGACTAATGATATTTATAAGCAAATATTATATAGGTACACTTTCTAGAACTCATTGAATTACTCTCTTACGTATTTTTTTTGTGATTTTAATAATCCTTGGTTAGTTGGCCAAGTAGACTATAAACTATTTATGATTGAAAGTTGCATCTTTTTTCCTGAAAACCTATGTAATGCTGGACACTGGTGGCTCACGCCTATAATCCTAGCTACTCAGGAGGCAGAGATCAGAAGGATCTTAATTCAAAGCCAGTCCAGGCAAATAGTTCATGAGGCCCTATCTTGAAAAACCCTCTCACAAAAAAATTGGGCTGGTGGAGTGGCTCAAGGTAAAAGCCCTGAGTGCAAACCTCAGTACTACAAAAACAAAACAAAACAAAAAACTATATAACTGCACACAGTCTATGCATGTGCTGACTATGTTCTGTTTAGGTGGATGAAATCTCTCGGCGTTTAATTTGGGAGAAAAATCTGAAGCATATTTCCATCCATAATCTTGAGGCCTCTCTTGGTGTCCATACATATGAATTGGCCATGAATCACTTGGGGGACATGGTAAGTTGAGCCTCAGCTCCTGGCCCACATGCCGTATTTGTTTTTGTTCCCTGCTAATGCCTGGCCTCTTTCTTTTTTGTCTCAGACCAGTGAAGAAGTAGTTCAGAAGATGACGGGACTCAAAGTACCCCCATCTCGTTCCCACAGTAATGACACTCTCTATATCCCAGAGTGGGAAGGCAGAGTCCCAGATTCCATCGACTATCGAAAGAAGGGATATGTTACTCCTGTCAAAAACCAGGTATTCTCCTTCTTTTGGGTGTGCATTGGTAAGCTGGCATGAACTTTTCCTTTTTATGTTTTGTTCTTGAGATAGGAGGGTGCTAAGAAGAGAGGGCAAGGATTTACGGTATGTCTCCCCATGTTGAAAGAATGTAGCCTATTCCGTTATTTAACGCATCACCTATTTTTATATATTTAGGTTCTTTCTGGGTTTTCTTTTTTATAAATAGCATTGCAATAAGTACCCTTGTGTGTATATTTTTCAACACACATATAAACATTTATGCAAAATAAATCCTAAAAATTGGAATTGCTAGGTTACAGAGTATTCTTTCCAAAAAAAACTTTTTACTATCTTCCATTCTTACCAGTATGAGAATGCTAGTTGTCTGATAAGCTTAAAAGCACAGGATTGCATCAGTGAGACTTAATATTCATCCAACAAATACTGTCCCCCCTCCAGTTTACCAGGTACAGTGCTAGGCAGTAAAGATTCAAGATAGCTAAGACAACTCTTCAAGAAATCTACAGTCTTGAACTGGAGGCCTGGCTCAAGTGGTAGAGCATTTAGCCAAGTGCAAGGTCTTAAGTTCAGTCCCCAGTAATACACACACACACACACACACACACACACACACACAATAGATCAGAAAAGATTGTAAAATCTTCAATTTAGTAGAACAAACCTTAATAATAGCTAGCACTTTTTGAGAGATTATTATGTGTAAGGAACTTCTAAATTCTTTATGTAAATTAAATCTCTTAATGCTTATAAAAATCTTATTAAGTATAGTATTATCCACATTTTACAGATAAGAAAACTGAGGCATGGACAGGTTTAATAACTTACCCAAGGTCACAGAGTCAACAAGTACAAAGCCAAGATTAGCACCCAGAATACTCTCCTCCAAAGCCATACTCTGCTCTGCTGGGATTTATAGTAGCTGATGGTAACAACAGTTATCAATAGCAACAAATAGCAATATAATAATGAGCAAATGTTAAATGAAGGGGAATAGGGAGACTTCATGACAAAGGCAACATTTGTGTGGGAATTTATAAAAATGTATGATAGAAGATACAGCATGTCTGACCAGTAATGACCAATTTCTCTGTGTACCTTTCAGGGTGAGTGTGGTTCCTGTTGGGCTTTTAGTTCTGTTGGTGCTCTGGAGGGCCAACTCAAAAAGAAAACTGGCAAACTCTTAAATCTGAGTCCCCAAAACCTGGTGGATTGTGTATCTGAGAATGATGGCTGTGGAGGGGGCTATATGACCAATGCCTTCCAATATGTGCAAAAGAATCGGGGTATTGATTCTGAAGATGCTTACCCATACGTGGGACAGGTAAGACTACTGATTACAGTTATACAGCCGTGTGCTGGCTCCTCCTTCCTGAGATGCTTTTTTTTTAAACTAGAAACGATGTCAGAAATCTCTCCCCCTCTCCCTATCTCTCCCTCTCTCTCTGTCCTTCTCCTTCTCCTCCCTCTCTCTTTTCCTCTCCCTCTCTGCCCTCCCCCTCCCCCCACCTTTGCACATGGTATGCAAGGAGCTCTTCTACTGAGCTACATCCCCAGCCTTTGGTTTTCAGGGTCTCACTATAGCTCAGGCTCTGAACTTGCTATGTAGCCCAGGCTAGCATTGAACTCACAGTCTTCCTGCCTCAGTGTCCTGAGTGCTGAGATTACAGTGTATAGCACCATGCCCATCTTAGTCTCTCTTTTTTAAGCTTTACAATCTTTCCTTCTATATTTATGTCTTTAAATCATCATCTAAAATCTATTTGTATGTATGGTTGAAGGTAAGAATTCACTTTTCATAGTTTTCTTAAATGGTAAGGAGGAACAGACCCTCTGTAAAGACTCTAGTCTGCAGCCTCTGTTAGTTCACTGATACTATCCAAAACACTGGTTAAGTTTCTCACTTGCCAACTCATTGCCTATTGCTTTGTCCCAGTCCTGTTACAACCTTGTTTTTTTCAGGATGAAAGTTGTATGTACAACCCAACAGGCAAGGCAGCTAAATGCAAAGGGTATAGAGAGATCCCTGTGGGGAATGAGAAAGCCCTGAAGAGAGCAGTGGCTCGAGTGGGACCAGTCTCTGTGGCCATTGATGCAAGCTTGACCTCTTTCCAGTTTTATAGCAAAGGTAAGGTACTGTTACTGTAGAGCTCTCTCTTTTATGATGTGAGTGTGTCAGCTTCTCGAAGGGCCCTGAGCATTTTTTAGTACTTAGTTTTCATATTCAGACTCAGGCTGCTGGAGAGAAACCAGCAGTTGTCGCAGTGTGGCATACTTCTGTTGTAAACCCTCCTGACCGGAATAGAATTATTCAGAGTCTACTGGACTAGAGATCCCATGGGGCAACTCTTGGATTGCAGAGTGCCTCATCTTCATAGTTTGTTTCCTAGGTGTGTATTACGATGAAAGCTGCAATAGTGATAATCTGAACCACGCAGTGTTGACAGTGGGATATGGAATCCAAAAGGGACACAAGCACTGGATAATTAAAAACAGGTAATGATGACAACACTACTTTTGTTATTCAGTCACCCTTATAACTCTCAACCTCACCTCTGGCTTCCCAATATTCCTTTCTTTCTCCAAAATCAACAACGCAGTTGCCTCAGGCTTTTCTGTTCTACCTCCCCAGTCAGAGGCTCTTAACTGTAGAACATATGATAGCCAGACCATAATATTCAAAGTATATGTTAGGTAGCTGCTTCCTGTGTTAGATGCTTTGTCACATATGCAGAGAGAGCTAATGGTATCGATGTACATGTAGAAATATTTAGGCAAATGAATGGGCAAATGTCTACCTTCAGTGATCTCACAGTCCAATAAGAAAGACAGACTTAACTATGGCAGAAGAAGCTAATTTCCTTAATAATCTCATCCACTCTTGCCTATTTATTCCCAAATCAAGATCACTAGCTTCAACTTCCCTCTTTTGCCACAGAGTAAAGCTAAAACTCTTTAGACTTTACTTCAGTAAAGATAATTCAACTTGATCTCAATCTTTCCAATGTATCTGTCAGGCACTCTATTTTTCAGCCACATGGTCCTTTCTCACTTTCTTGTCTCTATTGCTGATTTCACTACCCTCCATTGGCATCCCATTTCCACAGGTCCAAATTCTATTCAGCTTTTGCGTTCTGCCTCAAATGCCACCTCTTACATCAAGTCCCTTTTCATCCTCTTAATCAGACAGAAGCAATTTCTTTCACCTTTGGGACTTACAGCATATGCCTTCTTTCACTTCTTGACTTTAAATTCTTTAAAGATAAAAATCATCTTGCTCATTTTGTATACTATCATTACATGGCACAATATAGTAAGTGTTTTAAACCATATGTAAACTATGGGTACTAAGTGTTTATCTTGATTGGTCCTACAGCTGGGGAGAAAACTGGGGAAACAAAGGCTATGCTCTCATGGCTCGGAATAAGAACAACGCCTGTGGTATTGCCAACCTGGCCAGCTTCCCCAAGATGTGATTCCAGTCACCCAAACCCTCCTGCTCTTCCATTCCTTCTACAATGGTGCAATATATCGATGTACTTCAGAAGGCAGTTGTTGAACCATTTTTGAAGTAGATGTGGTGATACTGAGATTGTCTGTTTAATTTTTTCAGTCATTGGTGCTTCAAGTGACTTCCCTACCACTTTCCTTCTCTCTACCTAGGGTTTTTTTCTTTGTGGCCACAGCAGGAATTTTCCCAAGAGGTGTATACTTTAGGCTAAAAGAGATGTTGCCATCATCTACCTTGACTTTATTGTCCTGGGACTGTGCTGTGCAGTTAGACACCAGAGATCTTCGGATAGGCTAGATTCTCATTTGCTGGGACTAGTTAGCTTTAACCACTCTAAAGGACTATGATGATCTAACTTCTCAGTTTCCAAGTTCCCCTTCTTCTAAATCCTTAAAGTAGACATTTCTGTGTTTTCCATTCCAGCTCATAAATCTGTTCATAAGCCTTTGGTATAAGTTTACATGATATAAGAAATGTATTTTCTTTTCCTTCTTTGCATTTTTGAAATAAAGTATTTATCTCTTGTCTACAATTTAATAAATAGCATTTAATACCCATTCATTTTGTGTTGGATACTATGCTATATGCTGGAGACAAAAAGAATAAAAAGTGTTCCTTGAGCTGTGCACCAATGGCTCATGCCTGTAATCCTAGCTACTCAAGAGGCAGAGATCAGCAAGATCAAGGTTCAAAGCCAGCCTGGGCAAATAGTTCATGAGACCCTATCTTGAAAAAAACCCATCACAAAAAAGGACTTGGTGGAGTGGCTCAAGGTGTAAGTCCTGAGTTCAAGCCCCAGTACCAAAAAAATAAATAAAAAGTGTTCCCTGTACTTAATGTGTTCATTCTGATGAGAAAGACTGTCACATGATTCATCCCAATTCATTTATTTGTTCATTCCTACAGCCAGCACTTATCAAGTACTAAGAACTGTAGTAAGTTTATGGAATTAAGTGGACTTAAAGAAATCTCAATATTTAATACTGCCTGTGTGGGGACCAGAGTGACATGTTGTAAAATACCTGAGTCTTAAAAATATTCTGAGTCTCTTTCTGAGGTTCTACACTTTAAACTTCTGCTGTCAACAAAAAAAGTTGAATTTTTTTTTTTTTGAGGAAGGGTCTCACTATGTAACTCAGCCCAAACTTATTCAGTCTGTAGCCCAGGCTGGCCTAAAACTCACGATCCTCCTACCTCAGCTTCTCATGCCCAGCTTGAAATTCCTTACTAATGCTTTCCAGCCAGTATTAATTCTAGAAGAATAAATCATCACAACTTGTTTTGCCATTCTTCACAAAATATTTTCACAAAATGTAGTCATTTTTTCATAAAACCTATTATTACCACAAGACAGTTTATATTTAATATTGAATATTTGCCCAGTGTCAGGCACTCTTACTTCATTCTATGCAAAAATTATTTTTTGCTTATAAATATTTATTGACATGTAGAAATCAATATTTAGGCTAGAAGGATGAAAAATATTAGTAAGACATGGCCTTGACTTAAAAAACTTTATAGAACTGCGTGGTGTAGCGCACTTGCAGTCCTAACTACTTGAAAAGCTGAGGCAAGAGGATCACTTGAGCCCAGGAGTTTGAAGCCAGCTGGGAAACAGCGAACCTCATCTCAAAAACAAATAAAAAGTCTTAGAGAGTAAATAGTCATTTGATAACTGTCTATTGAAAAGCTGACTAATTTAAAGTAGGTTTTTCTGGATGTTTCTGAAATGAACAGTTGCTGGCAGAGTGGCTCAAGTGATAGTGTGCCTGCCTAGCAAGTATGAGGCCCTGAGTTCAAACTCTAGTACCACCAAAAAACAAAACAAAACAAAAACTCTGAAATGAACAATAAAAATTTTTTAAATTGTTTTTAAAAAAAAGTGTTGTAAGCTGGAGGTCCATGGCTCAGGCCTATAATCCTAACTACTCAGCAGATTCGTGGTTTGAAGCCAGCTGGGACAAACAGTTTATGAGACCCTATCTCGAAAATACCCATCACAAAAAGGGCTGGTAAAGTGACTCAAGTAGTAGATTGCCTGCCTAGTAAGTATGAGGCCCAGAGTTCAAACCCCAGTGCTGCCAAAAAAAAAAAAAAAAGAATGTGGTAGACTAGTGGTTGAGACAGATATAAACAACCAACAATAGCTGGGCACTGGTGGTTCATGCCTATAATCCTAGCTACTCAGAAGGCAGAGATCAGAATTGTGATTTGAAGTCAGTCTGGGCAAATAGTTCTCAAGACCCTATCTCAAAAAAGCCTTCACAAAAATAGGGCTGGTGGAGTGGCTCAAGGTGAAGGCCCTCAGTTCAAGCCCCAGTACTGCAAAATTAATAATAATAACCATAATGAGATAAATACTAATTGTGCAAGCTCAGGAATGAGTCTTTAATTCTTAATGGGATTTTAGATGAGGCTTTATTGAGAGCAGAGTTTTGAAGGATGTTAATGGGCAGAGGAGGGAGGAGGGTAATACTAGGCTGAAGTCTCTGGATGAACCACAGCACAGAGTTGTGTGGGTGGATTGTGAGAGTTAAGTGGTTCATGTATAGAGTGCAAAGGCATACATAGTAGAACTGAGGTGAGGAAAGTAGGAAGTTGTATCCCAGGGGGCCTTGAATGTCCACTATGTTCCAAGAAGTTCATACTTTATAGACAGCCAGGCATTTCGTAGTCATCAAATATTTTTGAGCAAGACGTTATGATCATATCTCTATTGTAGTAATATTTCTCTGGCACTGGTGTAAAGAGCAAACAGAAAATGAAGGACAAATGGAGATGCAAGAGATTGGAAAACTCTACATCTAGGAGGTACAGAAAGCCCACCTTATTTGCAGATTTATTATTTGTGGTTTTGACCAAGCATGATCAAAAAAAAATTCCTGTGTGCATATTATGCAGCTCAGTTGATGCAGAGAAGCTCTCAGTCAGTGTACATTTTAGTCAGTCATGCTTAAACCCCATGCATCCTGAGCACTTGCAATTTTCCTCAATATGGTCTCCATGGATACCAAGGGTCTACTCTATCTATACATATGCTATTGCTTCTCAAAGAAAGGATACTTCACAGAATGACTCCATAACTTTTTTGAAGCTTGAGTGTGAATTTAGCAGGGGAAGACAGCAAATGCCATTTTAAACCCAACAAATGGCGTATTCAAATGTGTATGCACAAGAGAACATGCACATTCAGCAGTCTCCAAGTATTTTTTATTGAACTTTGAAAAAAAACAAAGATGAGCCAGAGGAATGTCTGACTCCATACTGGCCAAATGTACACATAGTTCCATTACTGTAATCTGGGATTTTTCTTCCTTCTGCTGAAAGAACATCCTTTAGTATTTCCTTTTATGTGTACATGTGAGGAGCACAGTTACTCCATTCCTAAATATATTTGGGTTTTTCCCTGGTCCATTGAAATGTATATTGGTACTCTGGCTGGGGGTGTGACTTAAGTTGTAGAGCACCTTCCTAGCAAGCTTGAGGCCCTGAATTCAAATCCCAATACTGCCATTTAACTAATGGAGGTTTATAATGGGTTTTATATCAAGTAGGATTAGTCTTCCCATCATTCCTTTTCTAGAATTTTCCTGAGTAGTCTTGCTTTTTAATTATTTATTTATTTATTTTTATTATTATTATTTTGAGATAGGGTCTCAGAGGCCAAGCTGCCCTATTTAACCCAGGCTGACCTCAGATTCACAATCCTCCTGCCTCCAACTCCTGAATGCTAGAATTACAGGCATGTGCCACCACACCCGGCATGCTTCTTATTTTTTATATGTGATCTTTAGAATCAGCTTGTCAGATTATCAAAAATTCTGCAGATATTTCTGTTTGCATTACACTGAAGTTATGTCTTACTTCAGGAAAATTTTCCTAGCTGTTCCAGAAAAGCTCATTCCCAATGTGTAAGAACTGACCCCAAGTTGCCCTGATACCAAAGAAAGAAGCAGACAGATTCAGAATTAAACAGAATACAATTTATTGGAGGATTACTGACAGAAATGTGATGCTGGGTGGCAGCCAGACCAGTGATTCTCTGTGATTTGGGTCAGAAGTAGAGACACATATCTTATGGTCAGAATAAAAGTGACTTCATCCAAGCCAGAATGTACCTGATTTATCTCAAGTTGTATCAAAGACTTCAGACACATTCCTGGTTCCATGGCACCAGGGCTTACTCTAAAGCTTCACATAACACTGATGGTTTTGTTTATTTGTAGTTTGCTAGGAAAAAACCTGGGGAAAACCAACATGGTTACTCAGGGGCAATAATGGCAGTTATGACTCAAAATTGCTGCAGTCAGATCAAGATGACTCCATATACTATTTTTAAAATGAGAGATGCCTTCATACCTTATATGCCTTCTTGTTTTTCTAAGAAGTTTGCCTTTTATTATATTTGCAGTTTAAAATGGAGTCATTGTCAAAGTATCTTGTAATTAGATGTATTTGTATATTTGGAAGATACTAATTTTTTTAACTTATTTTTTAATTTTTTTTCTTGCAGTACTGGGGATCAAACCCAGATCCTTGCACTTGACTAGGGATGCACTCTACCACTTGAGCTACACCCCCCGACCTTTTTGCCTTAGTTATTTTTCAGATAGAATCTTTGTGCTTTTTGCCTGGGCTGGCCTCAGGCCATGATCCTCCTACCTATGCCTTCTGCGTAGCTGAGATTATAGACCTAAACCACTAGGCCCAATTTATTTGTTGAGATCAGATCTCACTAACTTTTTGCCTAGGTTGGCCTTGAGCTGTGATTCTCCTGATCTCTTCCTCCTGATTAGCTGGGATTACAGGTATAAGCCTAAAAAGTGTTTATGAGACATCATCATATTACTTAAACTGAGTTTGTCAAGGATTCCAGGATCTAGTACTCATATCTGGGTGTTTACACCTTAAGGCTTGGTTTGTTTTTTCTTTCTTTTTTTTTTTTTTTTTTTAAACTCCAGGGTCTTTGCACTTGCTAGGCAGGCTGTCTACTACTTGAGCCATGTCCCCAGCCCCTAAGGCTTGGTATTTTGAGACACTCTCTATGCACAGATTTTAGAGTAATGATGTTGTACTTTTGCAGATGACAAGATCTGATATATAGAAAATTCAAAGAATTAACTGAAAAATAATTAGTACTAATGTAATGAACTCAGCATAGTTTCAGGATACAAGATCAACAAAGAAAAATCAGTTTTATTTATGTACTGTAGAAATGAGCAAAATGGGGCTTGAGGATTTAGCTCAGGGGAGAGCGCTTGCCTGACAACTGCAAGGTCCTGAGTTTGGCCCAGCATCAAAAAAGAAAAGAAGAGAAGAGAAAAGAAAGTTGGAATAACATATTTAGGAAAAATTTAAAAATAAGTGCAAAATTTATACCCTGGAAACTACAAAATACTATCAAAGGAAGAAAAGCCTGGTGTGGTAGTGCATACCCCTAATTCCAGCACCAGCACTTGGGAGGCAAAGACAAGAGGATGGCAAGTCTGAGACCAGCCTGGGCTACATAGCAAAGTCTTGTCTCAAACAAACAAAAAAAAAAAATGAAGAAGAAAACCTAA